ACTAAATAGATGAATAAATAATTAAAATTTATTTTATGATTCTTAAATATAAAAATTAATAAGTAAAGAAAAATGCAATAAATAAGTAATTAATTACAAATATATACACAAAATTAATTCATTTATACAGCAATAATAAATGAATTAGTAGACAAATCAGTCAACAAAAATAAATATATAAACTGTTTATTAGTAAATTAATAGATAATGAAATAATTCAATAATAGCTAGTAGGAATAATATTTATAGTCTTATAGCCGTATAGTCTCGTATATCATAGTTTATTTCCCATAATTCAATTTTCTCTATCAAATATTAAAAAATACATATATATACATATAAATTAATATTTAAAGCTAAACTTCGTAGCAATTTCTTTCTGTGTATCCTTTCCGTTTACTTATATATACGAGTATATTTTTTTTACTCAAAGATTTACTTCTATCCTTCAGATAAGAATTATACGTGTTTACGTTAGGTGTGAGAACACATAGAGACAATATCAATTATTGTTTACAATTCATGTAAATAAGGTATTTAATTTTTGTACAGTGCAAGTTTTCCCCATTAACTGCGTGACTCGCATCTGTTCAAGTGATTCTCGCCCAGCTCTCAGTGTCGCCGTTGCCATCGAAACGAGCAAAACGAACGCGAATTCACGCGATTTTCATTCTGGTTTGTTTTTTCTTTAGTTTTTAAATACGAATTCCCAAATTGCCAATTTGTAGTTGTTGCTTCTCTCTCAATTTATATATACTATACTATATTATATTTGTACCGGAAAAGTTATGCATATAAATGATATATGTATGTACATACAAATATACAATCGACTTAGAACATTAACCTATCGTGCTCTTAAATCAAAGATCAATTGCGGAATGCAGTCCGTTGACATTGCATTCTCTGTGTCAGATAAAATAATTGCCATTAAGAGAGCCGACAATTTCATAATTTTCCACTTGTATTTCTCTTAATATGATGTGTGCATTTTATGTTTATGTGATAACGTTAAGCAATGGGTTACATTTCACAATTCGGGACAGGTAGCTAGCAACCGATTGTCGTGAATACCCTGGCGTGCACTCAAATAAAGAATGTCTACAATATAGGGTATTATGATGCAGTGCTCATTTATGTAACAGCAAATGTATGAATTCGAAAAATGATCATATATCATTCGTTTGATTTTGAAACTGACCAAGCATATGTATTGAAATCCATATGTATTTGCAGATAAGCCTTTCAGTAATTAGTTTTTGATGAAAAATAGGTTATAGAAAGATGGTAAACAAATTCATGTAATGATGAAATTCCCAAAACATGACAGATATAGTAAAATATACTGTTTATATTATCGATAACGTTTTAAAGTTTGAAAACTAACGATACAGGTCACATACGTTGTAATGTAGCTCAATTACATTTCTATTAAAGTAGAATCGATAACCTATATAGGTTATTTGAAATCGATAAAAATCGATAACACACGCAAGTTTCTAAGATCCACCACAAAATTACAAATTGAACAATTTGTATTCTAGTGAGCGCAAGTGACAATAATTGTATCAAATGAGATGATGATGAGATGAGATGACTCCTCAAAATGTTCAAAAACCAAAAATTTCTTTCCTTAATATGTAGTACACTATTTATCGATATATATCAATGCATAAGCGGAGGGTATTTAACTTTGCCCATAAGTGCAAGTACAGTGTAATAAGTACTTAAAAGTAGGGTATTTGATAGTCTGATTATATCTCCATCTCCCTTATCAATTGTTCCGACTTATGTATAACATTTACAGTGCGGACAATAACAATAACGTGGCCGGCGATTCAAGAGCGCTTATCAGTAGGCAACGAGGCTTATCTGACGGCCGTCGGTCTTTATATAAAGGAATGCAGTCAAGGCACACTATTTAGTTTGTTAAAGAGCGCATTGTCCGCAAGACTTCAACATGGGTCGATCACTACTGTCCGGCACATTTGTGTGCCTCCTGCTTGGATTCTTTGTGCTGCAGTCGCCCAGAGTCGAAGGCGCCAACATATTGGGCGTCTTCACCAGCCACAGTCCATCGCATTTCATAATCAACATGTCGATTATGAAGGCCCTGGCGGAGGATGGACACAATGTGACCGTGGTATCGGGCACTCCTCCAAAAGTGACCCACAAGAGCATCAAGCACATCGTTATCCCGCTGAGTGCAGCCGAGGAGAAGGATTTGAACGACGGCATGAGCTCCTTGGCCAAGGAGAAGCCGTCTGTATTTACAACGTTCAGGAATATATTCGGCTCGCTGTCTATGCTCATCTATAAGCAAGTGGATGTCCTGGAGGACAAACGATTCACCGATCTCTACAAGAACAAAGACAACAAATTCGATGCAGTTATTGTTGGTTTCTTCTTCAACAACTATCAGGTGGGACTGGGTAGCCTCTTCAACTGTCCCATAATTCTGACTTGGACTGGGCCGCCGATGATGCAAATCGACAGAAATATCGGTAATCCCGAATTGATTTCGTCAGTGCCCTCCATGCATGTAGCCGTGGCTCCCGGCCGAGCGATGAACTTTAAGGAACGTCTGGCCAATTTCGGTGGCACCATGTTCTTCCGCCTTTTTGCCTTCTACTTGGAGATACTGAATGACAAGTTTTACGAGTAAGTATTTAAATTTAAATTTTATTTGCTTATGTACATTAATCCTCTAATTGATCAATTTTTAGTCGTCTATGGGGTAATATTCCGTCCATGATGACCTACGAGCAGGCCAAGCAGAACATTTCCCTGGCTTTCTGCAGCAGTCACGGCATAAGCGAGGGACCCATTAGGCCCAATGTGCCGGCGCTTGTAGAGATTGGTGGCATACAGATTAAGGATAAGCCAGATCCACTGCCCCAGGATATTCAGGAGTTTTTGGATGGGGCCAAGCATGGCGCGATTCTCTTCAGTCTGGGCAGTAATCTGAAAGGCGATCACATTGATCCACAGATAATCAAAAAGATATTCAAAGTGCTCGCCGGGCTGAAGCAGCGTGTGATCTGGAAATGGGATGATCTGGACAAATTGCCTGGCAAATCGGCAAATATACTCTTCAAGAAGTGGATGCCACAGGACGACATTCTCGCCCACCCCAACATCAAGCTTTTCATCACGCATGCAGGCAAAGGAGGCGTCACCGAGTCCCAGTACCATGGCAAGCCCATGCTGGCCCTTCCAGTGTTCGCCGATCAGCCAGGAAATGCTGATAAACTGGTGGAATCGGGTTATGGCTTGAAGCTCGATTTGCTGACCCTAGAGGTGGACGAATTCAAGGATGCAATCAAGGAGCTACTGAGCAATCCCACCTACACCAATAAGATTCAACAGTTCTCAAAGATCTACCGCGATCGTCCAATGTCGGCTCGCGATTCGGTTATCTACTGGGTTAACTATGTCCTTCGTCATCACGGAGCTGCCCATATGCAGAGTCCCCTAGTCAAAATGGGCTACATTGCTACCCACAATATTGACTTGTATCTACTACTGGCAGCGATACTCTTGGTTATCGTTCTGATAAGCAAAGCTGTGTTGAGGTTCGTATGGAGCAAGTGTTGTGGTGGCAAAGCCACGAAGCAAAGGTCTTCACAAAAAACAAAGGTCAAGAAGCACTAGCATATTATTAGCATTGTAAATAAGACGAATTAAGAACTACGATTTTATATAAATTGTTATATATAGATAAACGACAATAAAAATCGATGTAAATATGACGAACTTTAAAGGTTTTTATATGATTGATAAGATATTTGAAAAATATACAAGTGGTTCCTGAACACGCTAATCTCAACATGTGTGGTTCGTGTCTTTGTTAAACAATTGTCATTCGTAAAAAACGAATTAAACTTTCATTTCATTTAAAAATAAATGGTCTGAAATTAAGCTCTATGAATCTGTGTATGGAAATTAATTTTTATAGTCTTACATGAAACTAAACTTATGAATTTAGTCCAGATAGTACCGGGGAGTACCCCTTAGCATTAAATATATATTTTCATATGTTTGTATTTACAGTAAACTTTAGGATCGTATTTGTTCCTCCGCTTCAGCTTTTCGTTCAGTAGATGGAACTGTTGGGGCTGGCTTATCAGTTGCCAGAAACTTTTGCAAGCTTTCTGCCGTCACAAGTCCACTGTCGTCCGCATAATGCATGAGATCACAAATGATGGGCGATTCTACGACTAGAATATACTGGCATGTCTTCGGCTCCAACAAGTACATGGAGACCGCTGTGCCACTGGAGGTAACTGGAGTGCAAGTTAGCTTAACGTCCACCTCGCGTGGCAGACCGCTGCGATCGCAGTGTGTGCCCTTCTCATAGTGATGCCATATGGATGAAGTGAAGCCTGGACGACGTGCACCTTTATCGGGATTCGAACTGGCCCACAATCGATGCGATTCCTCAGAGAAATAGCCCAAAAACAATTCGACTTCGCTATTTTTATCCTTATGAAATTGACGCACATGCCTGCCATAACAGAATTCGTACTTCCACCAGCCGGTGCCCTGCAGGGAAGAGGAATAAGTACATGAAGATATTGTGGATAGTTTGAGCTACTTACTCCAGTTAGACAATTCTTGCCGGAAATGAATTCCTTAATGGGTGTCAGATCATTCAAAGGCGGTGGAGTTGTGCCTTGTGCGGATCGCGAAATCAAGTGTTGATATTCATTTTCCACATCAATATCACTATTTGCCATCAGCTCCAATATGATTTTGTCCACATCCCCGCTGTACTTGAATGTAACCATATCGCCATCTGTCTTGGACCACAGCTTGGCTGGTGCTTTGCTCTCCTTCGACACAAGCAAATCGTTTTCGCTCTCCTCCCATTCGCTCAGCTCTTGGCGGAGCATACTAATTGGTTTATGTGGATCCGTTTGTGAATTGAAGCACTTGATGGATATCTCTTTGGTCTCCTCAGCATGAAAAGCAGGTATAGCACAAAGCGATGAGGTCAAAATAATAGCTTCATAGTTGCACGACGAGGTCTCCTTGAGTGAATATATATCATCCTTGCCATGAGGATAGCAGACGTAGCGCACCATTGTCGTCCTCGGCGCATCAATAATATCACACATTGTTCCATCGGTAAACTCCATTTCAAAATATGGATATCTTGTATTATCGATCTTCAACGTCTTATACTTTGGCTTGCCATCGGCTTTACGTTCCAGCTCCCAGGTCTTTTTAGCCAGCTCAGTTTTCTCCTCGCTCCATTTGCCCAAATAGTATTCCTGGAACTTCACATTTTTACCTTCGCGCTCCTCATGATACTGACGCACATGATGGCCATGGCAGATCTCATAAGACCAATAGGCTTCAATTCGGAACGAGCAAGTGGCTGCCGAGAAGATTGGCTGCAGAAGCGCAATAGGAGCTATATGAGAAGGTATTTTAATTGAATTATGAGTCTGCTAATGAAGAAATGAGTTTCATACTTACACATCTCCGGCTGGTTAGCTCTCTCCTCCTCCTTGGGCGTCTCCAGCTCTGGTATTAGACACTCGTATTTTTCCTTCTCTTGTGTATAAAAAGTACGCAACTGACTGCCCAACTCCTTTAATGCATGTAAAACCCCATTATTATTTATATTACTGCAATAACACTTTATTTTCACCTACCGGATCACTTAATAAATTAGGCACTTCGAAATCTATTTTGTAGAGCACGGAATCATCAAAGTCTTTGGCATCGTGCGCTGCTGCTACAGCGACCAACAGTAAGAGCAGCAGCATTTTACGGTCCATTGTTTTGTCTTTTTTTGTGCTACAATTTATTTTCTTTTTAAATTTATTATGTTTTGGATTTTTACAATTTTATTGTCATTGCAGACGCAAATTACACGTCGTCTAGAAAAAAATAAACATATGATTTTGTCAGCTGATGTGAGAATGTTATTTGTTCACGGCTCGCAGTGAATGGCAAAAAGTGTGTACATATTGCATTTTTTCCAATAAGAAATAGTTTAGAATTTGGCGGCGAAATTTTCGTTCTTAAGTACGATTCAAAAGTGGGGGAAGAATTATTCTGTTATGTAGGTGAATAATAATTAGAAATTATTAACATTCATTTAATTATTATTGCATGAATTGATTTAATTATATGGCAAAGTGGTAATTGAAATCGCCAACTCAGTTTTTCCCCGAGATTTGTAAAATATTAAGGCTTACAGCGAACTCAAACGATATTCGAATATGTAAATAAATGAATAAATTAATATTTCTATATTTGGTTTTAAGTTATTTTTATTTCGTTATTTTAAAATAGTAGTCCTAAGTGCTTGCTTCTGTTGCATCATCTGTTGTATCGCTGTTCCCCGTTGACCAGCCCGTTTCCTCTTTATGTCCATGATCCAGTGGCATTTTATCGATGGCATCCAATATGAATTTCAGTGAATGAGCTGTACGTGGTAGCCAATCCATAATACGCGAAGTGGACTTAGTTTGAGTACTTGGTTCGCTGTCGTCCACAAAATCAGCATCGCCACCCGTCATCGAGCGTCCGGCACCCAGATAATCCTGATAATCGTAATCGCTGGTCAATGGATTTACTTTCGAGTAGTAAATGGCAGCGAATGTGGAATAGATGATAAGAAGTGCCGTGCCCACCTGCGAATTGAGAGAGTAATATTATTGGGACTCTCCATATCGATTCTCTGTCATACCTGAAAGGCGGCCCAGAATTTGTAGGAGCCTTCGGTGATGACGAAATCATAGTAGCCCTTCAGCGGATCACCCTTGATGTAACGCCCCTCGCCCACATCCGTGCTGGCTGCCTCCGGCTCCCGCTTGTGTCGCATGCCGCGCTCCGAGCTCTCTTGAGCAGAATCCGCAGTGGCATTGGCCTTGACAGCATTTACGATTGCAACTGAAGTAGTTGTTGCCTCCTCCGCCTCATCGGAGTTGCTGCTGCTGCTACTGGTGCTCGTCGACGTTGTCGTTGTCGTTGTCTTAGCTTTTTTGTTCTGATTTGGCTTTGCATCCTTATTACCATTTCCCCGTTGTGGTTTCTTGGAATTGATTCTGGATTTATTCTCTTGCTGCTGTTGCTGTTGCTGTTGCTGGCGCAGCCGTTGTTTCTCCTGCCGCTCCTTCTTCAGCTGCTCGCCGCTCTGCTGATGCCGCTCAGCAACCGAGCTCCAGGCGCTCATCACTGCCTGATAGAGATCCCACATTTGTTTCAGTGTCTTCAAGAACGTGACCAGCGATGATTCCGTGGATACTGGCGCATAGGCGACGGCGTGGGCAGGTGAAGTGCTCACGGCCTGCTTGGAGACTGGCTGCTCCTGGGGGCGCGGCTGAAAGCCCATGGGATAGTCATACACTTCATCGTAGGCGGCATAGGGCGAGCTGCATTTGCAATGAATTAAGATTAAGCTTGGACTTGGCCAATAGAAACGCAGTTTCTTCTTTTTCTTACCGATTGCCTGCTGGCTGCAACTTGCGATTGTTGCTGCCGGGTGGCGCCGTTGTCTGGGTGGCATATTGCCATTGCGCGTAGTAGGAATCTTTGGGTCTGCCCTGGGCCGCTCTGCCCTCGCCTGCCTCCTCCGCCGAGTCAAATTGCTCCCCGCCATAATCGTCAGCCGCATCGTAGCTGGAGTCCATCTCGTATGATCTGCCCTGCGGTGGTCCAAACGAGTCTATGCGCTCGGCCATCGCCGGCGGTGCATCTTCCTCTTTCACAACCACCGCCTGCTGCTCCTCATAGTAGTTGTTACTCCTGCCAGTTGCAGTAGTCCGACTGGCATTCATGGCATCCCTCGCTATGCGCTCCACAGTGGCTGCAACTGCACCGTCCGATGCGTTTGTGGCTGCTCCAAACTTCGCCCACAGACGTCGCACAAGGAAAACGTCACCCGACTGGGCTCGATTCGCTTCCAGCAGAGCAACGCCCATTAGGGTCATCGCAAAGAGCAGCACGGCTACGATCAGAGTCCATATGCCCGGCACGCACTTTCGTTGCTTCTTCATTGACATGTCGGTGTATTCCAGCATTCTATATATGTGTATATATTATAGAACTGTTGCTTATTCCTAATCCGCGCCAGCTGCCGTTCGGCTGGGTGTCCACACGTTAACTAAATGCAGAACTTGAAGCGAGTTGCCACAAAAACTCAAATCCAATTCCAATAATCTAGTAAGATTTTCAATATATTTGAATGTGTGTGTGTGTGATTGGTGCTAATGCAAGAGAAATGTGGGTACTACCGCTGGCATCAGTATCTAGAACATCTACGTCTCGACGCAGCCTCGTTGAAAGGTGTTAATCCGTGCGCCGCGCGTATTGCCTGTATATTGGGGCACTGCTCCAATTTCAATTTAACGGTTCATTCGGCAACGAGTGCTACATCAATTATCATCTCATACATACACGCACATATGTGTGTGTGTGTGTGTATATCTATACAGGTGTATGTATATATCGATACGTTCCTTTATGCATAATCTTCACTTGTTTACCTCGAAATTCATTTTCGCGGTGAAAGTGCGCAACATGATCTCCGCCCTAGACTCCCGCCCCTTGCTGCCACCTTCAAGTGTGGCCCTAAAGAAGATCTCAATTCTGAAGATTGAATCGAGTATTGTCTGGCAATATTATTGACCAGATGCCAGCCCTCAGTTGTGGCCCGCTTCTGGCGTGTGGCACGCGTATTATCACATTCTATATCAGATTTTACACGAGTAGGGGCATACTTCATAGAGAGCGTGGCTCCTTTTTTTATGCCACAGAAAGAAATCTGTCAAAGCTGACAATGAAGATGTTACGGTCAAATTTACTCCTATGGCATCTATTAATGGAGCTGATACAGCTTAATACGTATAATCAAATTGAATGGAAACTTAAATACTTAAATATCCAACCACAATCATTTCTTATATTTTTTTGTAAGCGACATTTGCGCTTAGAGTGAAAAGTAATACGTAATAATAATAAAAAATTAAATGTATATGTGTACTTATATTCATTACATTCTTCTAAAAGTCTGTGTACATAAAGAACTTTACACTTTGCAGATTAGATTGTTTCAAGAGCAAGTTAGTTTCCTTTAGCTGGTAGCACTCGAATATCAGACACCCCAAGCCCTATGTCAAGCGATTGCTGCCAARACTCAATATTATCTTACGACAAAAACTATAAAGCTTTGTATTACTATACATATTATTATTACTATTACTACATATTAGTATTACTATATATATCAATCAAATTAAAAAGAATTAAAATTAGTTGTGTCTCAAAAAGAAAGAAAATAAAAAATTTCATTACAAATAAAACAACAATTTATATTGTATATTAAAGCACTCAAAATGTCAATTGCCAATAGTTCTACCGATTGGGTGTAAACCAGTTTTATGACCTTTTCAATTATTTACAATCTACGCATAAAACTTTCCTAAAAAATCAACCAAAACAAATACGTTCAAGGTGGAATCTTTAATAACGATTCGTAACTATGTAACAGCGTAGTAAAAAAACTGTTTTTCTGAACAATTGCAAACGTCTACACACCTGATAATGATGTTCGCAGTGATGATGACTAACTAGAAGAAACACCTGATAACCAGCGAGGTCTTGTTTGTTGTTTTTTCTTCTTTTTTTTTTTTTTGTTTACCAAATATCAACAACTGCGCAGTAAGAAACCGGCAAATCGAGAGAAAAAGCCGGCAAAGAAATTCGAGTAGCATTAGAGTGGACCAGTTTTTCATACATTTTTATATGAAATAGTTTGTTGTTGAATCGCGGTAAAAACTTCAAATAGCTAAATAAAGATTTATTGAATAGTTACAATAAATTAAATATGCTCTTTATATAAGCTTTCAACTTTACTTTTAAATTGTATAGACCGTCTTGAAGTTAATTTTGGCCTCTGCTATGGAACTACAATTACAATTCTATTAAATCGACAAATTCAAATAATAATTTTTAAATAAATATTTTTATTTTTATAAATATTTTTATAAATGATAAGTGTTTATTAAAGCGCATAAAATTCATTGATCTAAAATTTTATGTAGCTTTATACTCTCTAAGTGGCTCTGCATTTATATTTAAAAGTCATATACATAAATATTAAATTTTATTATACATTTTTTAAATCAACTAAATTTAAAGCAATATTAAAAACATTTATTATCGATGACAAGTTATTATCTTCAGCCAAAGGCCCGCTTCTCACTTTCTCCCCCAGAGCCTTTCACTTTTTCGTCAACATTTTTAGTATAATTAAAATTCGATTTGGTTAAATTTACTTATATATATAACATTTAGTTTTTGCACGCCGCCTTCTTGTTGTTGTTGTTCGTGTTGACAAGTTTAGTTAGAATCTTTCTGGAGTGGCCGGAGGGATCGAAGTGATTGGTGTGCTCGCTGGCTTCCTTCTTGGTGCGCTGCTTGCCACTGTGCCCCGAGAACATGTGCTTGTCGTGATCATAATTGTAGTGTTCATATTGATCGCAGCTGGCCTCAGACATGTTGATTTAATTTCAATAAAAATCTGGAATTCGATTAGAGTTTTTGCTTTTTCGCTTGGTATGTGTCTTTGCCGTTTGAGCTCTGTAATCACAATGATTGTGGCTACGTATTGCAGTGTATCAAGAAAGCTTTGAACAACAGCTCGAGTGCTCTGCCATGCCTCCATTTGGTTCTCTTTCCATCACTCTCAGAAAGCTTTTTAGCAGTGCGCAATATTTTTGTTGACTCTTTGAGTATATATAGAGTAGCTTATGCGTTGGCGTATATGTACACTGATTGACTAAATGATTTAATACGAAATATACTGGTTTTAGCTTTTATGGTCATTTAGGAGGAAAAGGAATAGGATTTCCACACAGCAATCGCAAATGCCAGTGATCAAGACGTTAATGAGAAATATTTCTTTAATATCAGTACACTGGTCCATTGGAACATCCATATAGGACTCATTTTAGCTGATACTGCAAGAGCATCCCATGTATTCCGTTAAATTTTGGTAAGAGCTGTTAATTAATGAACTATTTAAGCTACTTAAGTATATATGACTCAATTTTGCATATTTGACTCAATTATACTTATATCAATTCCTCATAAAAGTTTTTGTTACTCTGTTAGCTTCACATATCTCCTAGCTAATAGCTTCCTTGGGCAGTAAAGTCTTCAAGCGTTTCACGGTTGGCGTTGTCACATTTGACGCTATTTTGCGACGTAGTGAGCCCGTCGCCTTGGGCTCCTTTACACTGCCCCTAAGCATAGCATCGAGGGGCGGTAATGCAAAATCATCTGGCATCTTGTTTTCGAACGAGCTATCCACTGTTTCCGACAGTTCAAGTTGCACCGCCCGCTCTGTATGGACACGCTGCACGTGCTCCTTCATTTTGTCCGATCGATGGCTGCTAAAGCCGCAGAGCTGACACTTGTAGCGATTGAGGCCGCCTTCTGTATGCTTGAGGGCGTGTCGCTTTAGGTTCTTGCTTTGGCTGAACTTGCAGCCACAAATCTCGCAAATGAAATCTCGTCCCTGTTTATGTGTCTCGATGTGCAGCTTCATGTTCTCCTTGCGATTCGCCCGATGCTTGCAGCCAGGCACCGTGCAGGCAAAGAACTCGCCAGTATGCAGAAGCTTGTGACTCTTTAAGGCCTTCATGTGCGTCGTGCTGTAGCCGCAGACATCGCAGAGCATTTGCTTTTCGGGATTGTGCACCAACATGTGGTTGCTCAGGCCCTGTTTCCACTTGAAGGCCTTGCCGCAATGCGAGCAAACATGTGGTGTTTCCGTTGTATGTTTGGGCTGATGGATAAGCAGAGCGGCCCGCGTGCTGAAGCGGTTATCGCACTGCAGGCAGAAGAAGGGCTTTCGAAGATCGGAGCCATGGCGACGCAGGTGGGAGTCATATTCTCGCCAATCCAGAAAGCCAACTTCGCAGAGCGAACAGGTGAGGTGGGACGGCTCGCAGCTGGTCATGTGATCAATCATCTTTTGCACCTGATAACATTTAAAGTCGCAGCCAATGCAGTAGTTGATTTTGCTGCTTGACTTAACGGCACGTGGATTCTTGAGCTACAATTGAGAGGAAAGTGTAAAGAAATTGCTTAAAGAAAAAGAATCAGCGCTTTCTTACCTTGAAATAGCTTTGTTGATTCTCAAAGACCACATCTGCTTTGTTAGCTGGCTGCACAGCATCCTCCACATCGCCCGGTTTCGCGGCAGTTGGCTCCACTCCCACATTAACATCAGTGCTTTGCTCTATTTGATACAAATTCAACAACTCGGTTACAGAAAGTATTTTCGCCAACTCGCGAAAGTGCGCTTCATGCTCCTTGGAAACGGAGACAATGTCCTCATAGAAAAAGTCCACGATGGTGTGCAGGCACACGGTGCAGTTGAAGTTGCGTATTGTGACTTTTAGTGGATTTTGAATAGAGAACTGCTGTTGCTTCTGCTGATTGAGGCCAATGAGTTGACTTTGAGCAGCAACCACGCAAAAATGCACGCTGCATGTGCAGGACACATCATCCGAATCCAGCTCTAGCTGCAAATCACAAAACTGTCCTGTCCTACGTTGATTATTTAGGTAATTGGACACCTTGGAATGCAGTGGCTGATGTAAAGTGGGCTGAACGATAGGCGTTTGCAGCATTGCATTTAACTTTGCTCAAATCCAAAATGTAAACAATTATAACGTTGGTAAACAAGTCGGCAATCAGCTGTTTGACATTCATATGCAAACGTTTGAATGCGAACCATTCACAGGAAATGCGCGCATTAAAAGAACTCATAACGGGACCGGCTTGATAAAACTGCACGTTAAGTTTAAAACGAATTTTTATATTTTTCGTAAGATCTTATGCAGTTGTAGTAAAATTGTATTGTATTTTATGTTTACATAATAGCAATACATTACGAGCCTTTAACACTTTAGTGTTAATATTATAATTAATATTAAAATCTCATTATGGCAAGCAAAAAAATAAAAATGTTCGTTACAGTCAAACTGAATTAGCTGACTAGATTATTTACAACTTTCAGAATGCTCCTAATGAAATTGCTGAGTAATATAAAATATTTCCATATTACATTAATTAATTGAATATTATACAGCAGCTGATATACTGCTTGGCCGGCAGGAACAACCTTATCATTTGTTTACTGCATTGATAAGAGACTTGAAGCGTTGGAGGAAGCTTCGACAGAGCTGCGATCTGTCTGACCAGTCGTGCCTTGCACAGCAAAACGAACGAACGTTTAAAGTGATAGACAAAGCTAAAGCAGCAGAATTATAAACATATATATATATATATATAGAGGTCTTTATAGTATAATAGCTGCAGAAATACAAAATGGAAAGGTATCACATAGTAACTAGTTTCTGCATTCACTTTAACAGAGCATCGTTTTTTATAGTATTTGGCAGGAGTGCCAGTCATTCCTAAAGACTCTACTCTGTTTCATTGTGGCCCTTATGTTGCTGCCACTGCTGCTGCTTTCGTTTGTGTGTAAGTATTCCATTTAGCATGAAGCCTTTCCGATCAGATACAGATCAAACAGGCCGGCTATAAATAAACGAGGCATGGGTTGATTAACCGCTCCATTCACCCAAAGGATGAGATGGTTCTGCTCTATTCGCTTAATGGGATACGCTTCAGTAGCTAGCCTGTCAGTGATAAGGTTTACTACTCTGACGGTCGATAAGGGGGCTCGCTAGAGGGGCGGGGGCGGGTACATCAGCATACGCCACTGATAAGCTTTGTTTATAAATAATACCTGTTGCACCTTTTGTAGTACCGAGACGAGCGACCACGCTGAACCTTGACCAAATGAATTACTCATTAAAAACTTTACCAAGACGATAAGACGAAACGTAGCTGAAATATAGCAAAATGATTTATATCTCTCTTTGACAGGTGCGCATTTCACCAATGAGCTTGTGAATTACCTGCTTAGCATCAAGTATCCTAATTTGACCATCTGCAAGTCCAAGAAGATACGCACCTTGATTGATACGCCCAAGAATGCGGGCATCTTTCACTTCCTTCTCCAGGTGGAGGGAGTCTGTGACTACGAGAGAATTAAGCGCGCCTACGCATTGCAGCTGACTGAGCTGAAGGATAAGATGGGCATGATCAAGTTTCCGAAACTCAGGCAGAAATTGGTCACCTGCTGGGGCCACTATGCCTGGGTCAACGACAGCAGGTGGGTGCAGTGTGTGGCTGAAACAGCGCAGAGAGTCTAACTATGCCTTGCTTGCAGTGGCTTCAACATCAACAATCACGTGCTGCTCAGCACGCACAGATACCGCGGACGTCCGGTCAACGAGTCGAACATTCAGGATTATGTCAGCGAGCTGGCCGCGAAGTATATACCCTCGGACTTGCCCCAGTGGCAGGTGACCGTCATACCTAATGCGGATCAGGAGCAGCCCTATTATATACTGATCAAAGTGCATCACTTGATCATTGCCGAGGAGGACGACCTGCACGTGAGCGAGATGCTGCTGCTGCAGGACAACGAACGTAAATCGTTTGTTGGCCTCCAGGACGGTCTGACCCGGACGACGAATACCAAGCAGCTCTCGCACTTTGTGCGTCAGCCGGAGCACATTAGCAAGCTGCTGAATCATGTGCAGCATCTGATTAGCTGCCGCTGGCAGCAGTTCATCTATGAGTTCGAGTCGCTGGACACGCCTGATGGCGTTAAGGCCCATCCGGATGCACGTAATATCAGTCAGCTGCTCTCACTGCTGCTCATCGTGCTGGTCAATGTGGCCTTGGGCTATTGGCGCACCCGGGCAATGCGTCGCAAATGGCAGCGACGCGCGACGGGTTTTCGAGCTGACTTGGGTGTAGTGCAGACGCTTTATGTGCTACTTCAGCATGAGCTGGAGCAGCGCAATCTTAGCTGGGCCGTGGCTCGCTCGGCTCTGCTGTACAGTTTGCAACCGGTTCACATAGTGAAGACCTGGACACGTTTTCTCTGGCAGCAGTTGCTGCATCATTTTATCCTACTGCCCTATCACATGTACTGTGAGCTGTTGGCACTGCGCGACGTGCTGCTCCGTGGCCAGACACCGTATACCCGTACCTATTGCGCTCGCCTGTATTTGTATGTGCCACTGTTGCTGTATGCCCAACTGGAGCTCTGCAAGATCTGTTATGAGCTGTTCAAGGCTCCCAGGAATATCTATGATGTTCTTTTCGTGCAGCCCACCAAGGAGTTAAACATCCTACATAAGAAATCTTACGCAGGGCGCAAAATTGTTTCCTTCAGCCGATCGATAGATGGCGCTTTGCTGCGCGAACGTCATCAGCATTTGTTTGGCCAGGAGCTGCGTGAGTCTGACTTTAGCTTAGCCTGCTTAGCAGGCGCTGTTTACGACTACTTCAACACCTTCTCAGACAGAGTGGCTGTGCCTAAGCTTCTGAACACAACATGTCGCACTATATCCAAGGGTTATTTCACCGATCGCTGTGCGGATAAATCGGAGCACATTGGAGGAGTGGTCTTCCTGCAACTGCCATTGGGTCCACCGGATGCCCTCAAAGCTCATCAGCTGCACGAAATTGTGGAGCGCATTCGCAAGCAGCAGATAATGTTATACTTGGCTTCCATTGGGCAGACCAAGTACAGTCTACTTACGGCGTTGTTGCCCCATGTCCTAACCAAGATCTTCATTAACTTCTTCTCGTATAACTTTCCCGTTACCATCACGGAGATCTATGGTACAGCAGACACCCAGTTCCAGGCAGCATGGGGGCAGCGTGTGCAGGATGTCTTACTGTTTCGACCACCCCAATCGAAGACTTGTTTATCGTTGAATCTGCATCGATTCGGCGACAAGTACAGGTTGGCAATTATGGCTGACACGCATTTGGCTCCGGATCACACGCTACTCACACGATCCTTTGAACGTTACATGGAAACGGTGACATTATAATAGTCTATTATTATCCCAATAAAATATATTTAATCTACCGACATCAAATAAATTTATACACGAAAAGTCTATCGTCGTTTAAAATTTTTAAAAAGCGCGCACTCAATACTATTCACACAAAACTGCCGTTGGTTTCGCTCTCGTTCAGACAGTCACACAAAATGAGCACATATTATTGTGAATATCATTTTGGTTTGACATCGAAAACTGTCGTTTTTTTTTTTTTTTTTAAATTTGTTGTGTATTGCCCTAAATGGAATCTCTTTTATTTTTATTTTATGTAAACAGACGAATGTAGATTGAAACAAAGAACTCCATCTAGTGAAGCCCATCAATAAATGGAAGTTAACACCTACTCGCCAATGCAAACAGAAAGTTAACGCAGAGTAAAATATGGAATCCGTTGCTCAATGAGCTTCAGTCGCTCATTGAAGCCGGGTCTGGAAGGTTGCGAATGCGGTAAATTAACGGTGTTTGTTTCTTTTTCTTTTAAAGACTACGCGAGATAACCAATGGGGTCAAAAACAAATTGCTTTGATTTTTTACACGGGACTCCTAATTAGCTCAACTCAGCAAGCTTCAATTAGCATTGAAATAATTGGCAATTCCAATTATTAATCAATTCAAATACAAAACATAAACAACAAGCAACTCGCCAATTATAGATCTAGTTAGAAGTTCCGTACGCTAGTTTCAACAACCACAACAACAACAACGATTCACGCAATGTATTGTTGTTCTTTGTTCCCGGTGCTTCGTTCCGCTTGCCATATCAAGAAATATCATCTAATCAAAGCTAGTTACAATTTCACTGAGCTTGCAATAGACAAAGTGAGACAATAGGTAGAGTTCACAGCAAAAAATAATATGCGAGAAGCTGTTTAAATTAACAGAACATCCGGCTTATACAAAATAATAATAATAATAATAAATAAAATTTAATGACTTTAAAAAGAACAGAACCATACAGTTAAATTAAAATTCGATTTTGTTCATTTGTTTATAACTGATTCTCTCGCTACAATTTGTTTACAGAGCTATTATTTCTTATATGGAAATATAGTCATACCATATTAATATATATGTACACACGTAGACACCTCGGAGGTTTCCAGCGAGCGTCGCGTTCGCCGTCCAATAAGAACGCTACGCAAGCTCGACGCAAACGGTTGATCTTCGTAATCTGATTGCTCGGCAGGCAAGACGAATCGACTCGCACTCGGACTCGGACTCGTACTTGATTTTAAGTGTCGCTGATTAAACGCAATCATCTTGAATCATTTATAATTCGAGGAGCGAGCGAGATGAGACAATTGCAATTGGTGTTCATTTTGGCGCTCTGCATCTGTCCGGCAATATGGGCGCAGCAGCTGGATACATTGCCTCCAGACTCTGGCCCGGATGGACGGCAGCTGAAATTGTGGCTTACGATCAGCGCTCGGAAGCGTTTCGTGGAGATCAGCTGGAAGAATGCGCCGGCCCGGGATGGCGATCAAGTCTTGTTAACAATACAGGATCCGCACACATTTGAGCTGCGATCTGTGCCCACGGGCACGCCGCTGGCAGGATTTACGAAAAGTAGAGACAGTGACAGCGCGAGCGAGAGTGAGGAGAGCAGCGGTTCAGGCGCAGACCAGGTGGCCTTTGTGCCAATTCATGGCTACACAACACCTGGAACGGTGGCCAAGGCAGACGTTGTTCCAATGCGAGAGCAATGGGTCTCTAATGGTGGCAACAATCAAATTGTGGCCGCCATCAAGCCCAGCCAATCGGCCCAGTGGTTCACAACAGGCGTACCCTTTGATTATGCTCTGTCCCGGAATGTGACCACGCATAGCGACTGCTACGGCTATTGGGCTAGCTACATCGATGACCATGGACGCATTCTCGCCAAGACCTGTATTCGTGCTCATCCACGCTGGATGACAAACTGGCACAGTGGGCTGGGTGATCTGCGTCTGCGCGATCTCTTCATACCAGGCACACACGACTCCGGATCTTACAGACCCAATTTCGATCCACTGTTGCGCGAGAGTCTGGTCACCAAGTATGCTCTAACCCAGGACGATGATATACGGGGCCAGCTGTTGCATGGAGCACGCTACCTGGACATACGTGTCGGCTTCTATCGTCCCAGCGAGGAGAAGTTCTTCATCTATCATGGCATCACTAAGCAACGACCACTCAAAGAGGTCATTCAGCAGGTCAAGGACTTTGTCCAAGAAACCAATGAGATCGTTATCTTTGGCCTCAAAGAGTTTCCCGTGGGTAAGGTTTATTCTCTATAGATCTGAATGAAATTGGAATTCGATATGCTTTCATATGTCTCGGATAGGTTTTGGCAAGAATCTGGCCGTCCATCATCTGCTAGTTGCCTACTTGCGAGAGCAGTTTGGAGATTTCATCGTCCACCCATCGCTCACCTGGCATGCCACACTGCGCGACATCTGGAAGCGTCAGCAGAATGTAATATTGGCCTACGACAAAAGTGAGGTCGTGCAGCAGTATCCGGATCTGCTCTTTGGTGGCGTGGATCAGCGATGGGGCAATGTGCAGTCGTGGCCGCGTCTCGAACGGCATTTGCGCTACATCAACGACTTCGATGTGTCGTAAGTGTAAAACAAAGCTGTTCCAAGAGGAGTTATAACTATGTTCTATATTCCTATATAGTCGCTTCTCGAGTCGTCCTGTGGTGGACATGGCGGAGCTAACTCCAGAAACCTGGGACGTTATACTAGATAAGCATGGTGGCTTACGCAAAATGGCAGACAATGTGAATTGGCGCATCTCGCAGCTATACCGAGACGAGCTTGGAGAGCATGCGAACATTGTGGCTGCAGATTTTATACGTGGCACTACGCTCGTCGAGACGGCCTTGGAAATGAACCGGAAAAAGATGGGTCATTAGCAAATGAGCCGCTAAAGCGCACTCTAAATATTTATACAAAAATCCATTTCAGTTTAAAGTTCAGTTTACATTCACAATAATAACACATTTATAAATTTCATTCGAATAAGCCAATTATTTGAAGCTTGACAAAGATTTGTATACATTTAGTGCAGGTGTAGTAATACTTATAGCTAAATTCATTTTCATTTTCAGTTTCCCTAAACGTGTCACAACTGAGGCAATAATATATATGTCTATACATATGTATCTATATATGATTTATGTATATGCAAGTTGTGTGAGAAACTTTCTTGCGACTGCCATCACTTGAATAAATATAAAAATAATACAAAGATTTAACTATAGCTAGCGACTGATTTGCAATTTAAATTTTGAGGAATGATAATAATGTCTATGCGAAAATATCATACAAAAAGTTTTGGCATACAATTAAAAAGCCCTTGGCTGGAGTTCAATATCTTTGCTTTGTGTGGTTAAATAAATGCGTAGAGCATATCGGCCTACTTTAGCGTTTCGTTTGACTCTATTATGGTTGTATTGAAGATGGCACGACACAGCTCGACCACGGCATTCGATAGACGGCCGTAGCAGCGCGGCTTTTGCTTCCAGGCAATGCAAACGTAGTAGAAGGGAATGCCGGCCAAGGTGATGGCAATGCCAATGAGTAGGTTGGCGGGCTCCTTAAAGTTGGGTAACAGCACCAAAGTCACGCAAATGGTCATAAAAATAATTGGCAACGCCAAATGCACCTTGATGGGACGAGGCAGATCCGGCCTGAAGAGAGAAATACGTTTGTTTACATACGTTTTAATAGATTTGTGTATTGAACTTACTTCTTGTGCCGCAGCCACAGCATGCCTGCTATGCTGGCTACAACAGAGAGCCACAACACAGAGCTAAAGTAGTTAATCAGCTCGTAGACGTTCTCGGTAAGCAGCATGAGCAACGACATCAAACACTATATAGAGCAGAAGGTTACTCAATAGTCACTCAACTGTTCAAGTTGACGCTTGACTCACTGTAAATATCAACGATGGTATTGGCGTCTGCTGCTTGACATGGAATAGCTGAAAGAACTTGGGCAGATGACCCTCCTGGGCGCCAGTGGCGAACAGACGGGCCGAGGTGAAGAGCACACCATTCACACCGCCAAATGTGCTCAATGCCACAAAAATGGGCACCATAAAGGCCAACGGGCCAAACACCTTGTTGCCAAAGGTCACAGCCACCGCTAGAGAGCTCAACATCTCCGGCTTGGAGACAACGGCAAAATATGCTAGATTAACCAGCACATAAATTCCCGTAACCAGCGGCATAGCTATCCAAATGGCGCGTGGCAAATTTCTATAAATATACAAAATACATTTGAGATTTGAGAAACCTGCAACGTGCCTTAGAAAACACTTGGTTTCTAGACTCAAGCAGTTTGCGTCGAGCACTTAAATTGATTGCTGTGCTGTGCTGTCCCGCTCTGTTCAAATTGAATTCATTAGGGGTAAAAAGCAAAACTTGAGCGCACCAGATAACCAGCCAGCAGCCCAGCAACCAACCACACCATCACACACATTCACAGACAACCACCCATCCACCCACTCACTCACACATGCGTATACACACAGCCTCAAGGACGCTCAACAAGTGGGCGCAGGCAACTTGTTGCTGACGCAGATGGCAAATAGGACAAAGTCATTTGTCTTGCTGACAGGCCCTATTTCATGTCAGTCAAGCACCCAGCCACCTCCTTTGATTCATTCGCTTATTTAATCACTCACCCACCCACATACTCATTTAGACGCCCATTCAAAACTTTCTTTTGTTATCTAGAGGATTCTCACTTGTACGGATCCTGCAGCTCTTCAGTGACAAAGTTCAAATAGTTCCAGCCGCCAAAGGCAAACAAACCGGAGTAGAAAGCATAGCCAATATTTCGAGCACTGTAAGTGCCCTCCCAAGGATTCGAGAAGTTACGCAACTCTCCAGTGGCCATAACATAGAGACCAGCGAGTATTATCATAATGAGTGCCAAGAGCTTGCCAATCGTAAAGATATCCTGCACTTTCATCGACACCTTGACGGACAGACAGTTGATAGCAGTGAGGAGGCCTGCAATATAAATGTATATAGATAACATCTTATATTGCTGAATTAAATAGATATAAAGCTTCAATTGAATTACGTACATAGACAAACGGCAGCCAGTAGCTTCACGGCATTCTGAGGCGGATCACAGTCTTCAAAGAACGGCTTGGCAGCGTAATGGGCAAAAGTGAGAGCAACTATTGTCTAAAAAAGGAAGATAATTACCGATTATATATATAATTTTAGTATTAAATATGTATAGTACAATCCTTTCTTTTATAAATTATTTAATAACTAATCAATCTATTAATTTTACGATTTTTTTTTTTTTTTTTAAATATATATCATTTTCAGAGATACAAGTGATTTTTATGAGACCAGCAAACTACTTCTGGGCTACTTAAATCCATACTTTTGGTCTATGTGGTTATTATTTCAGGTCTATGTTATTAATATTCAGCAAGAAATGATTTTTTACTTATTTCTCTATTACCATATTACATAGAGATTTCTCAATATTGCAACTGCGCTTGCAACACGCTAGTTATTCAAGTTATTTGGCTGAAAAACTTGCATTGTTTCTCGTTTCACAAACGATTCAGTGAAAACATTTCTCACATTTCCTCGAAGCAACTACTAATTGCGAGCAATTGTGGTCGAAGGTTGGGCTTTAAATCAATTTGTTTATACAATACAATCAATAAAATATCATAAACTAATAACAATCAAATAATTTAGATTTTATTGGTTGGCAATCAAGCAATCAAATCAACTCAAATCAACTCACCTGGGTGGTAGGCCTGATAATGAGCAGAGCGATCCATAGACGTAGAAAGCCGACAAGTGGGCCAAATGCGACCAATAGATAGGCATAATCTCCCCCGGATCTGGTAATGCTAGTGCCCAGCTCTGCATAGCAAAGAGCGCCGATTGTTGAAAGAATGCCGCAGGCGGACCATATCAAAAGTGAACTTCCGACGGATCTGAATGCAATGGGAAGCGCAGAGAAGAGTGGTTAGGGGAAACTGCGTGAATATGATGTCCAAACAATAGGCGCCAAGTGGTTAAAGTGGCTCTACAAATAAAGCAAAACTTTGCTGTCTCTTATTCTCTCTCTTTCTTTCCGTTGGTCTGCCTCTCCTCTGTGTGTGAATCGATGTGAGTGAGTGTTTATTTTGGGGCAATCTTGTAATTGTAGCACAGACTTCTCGAATACTATTGTGGCTGATGCAACAATTGTCAGCGATTTCGCGATGCCGACAAAATACCACAAAGCTTAACTAAATGTTCTCAAGGGTGTGCGCAGGCAACAACAAGGCTTAATTACCTATAGCTGAGCCTCACCCACTCTTCAAGAGGGAGACAGTGTGAGCGAGATGGAGAGAGCGAGTGATTGGCTTGCAATTCAGCCCAATTGAGCTGGCAGAAAGAAATGTTCCAATTTACAAAATAAATTATACGCCATTGACCTGTGGCTCGTTCACTCGTGAACTTGTCTAATGAACTTGCAAAAGTTCGAGATGCAATAATTAATATCTTTTCTACGAGCATCGACCTTGATGCAAATCAAAATGATATACAATACATCTCATCTTTATTCTAAACTATTTCAGTGTATTTTAAGCTCAAATTATAAGCAAGCTCTACTTACTCCGTATAGTAGAACACTCCGGTGGGTGCTATAAATATGCCCGACCCAATAATAGTGCCCACTATAATAGCCACTCCATTGATTAGAGTTAGTTTGCGTTTCAGCACTATCTTCTCGCCTTCGCCCTCTTCAGCGACTTTCTTTGGCTCTGCTGAATGTCCATTGGCAGCGGGCTCCACTAAACTGGTGGATACCCCATTCGCATATCGCTCGGTCATTATAATAGAGTGTTTGCCTTTGTACGATTGCGCGCTATAAAATCAGTTCAAATATTCCTGTATACCCTTTGAGGTTTTTTCCAATGAATTATTCTCCCGCGGGCGAAAAAAAAACCACTTGAAAATAAAATTTTTTTTATATACATATATTTTTAATGTAAAAAAAAAAATATATTTGTAGAACATTTTTTTGCTCATATTTATTATAAAAGTATAAAAAAAAAAAACATAGGTATATAATATTTAAATATACATATCAAGAAATGTGTAAAAAAAAAACTAATTTAATTTAAAATACCTATTAAAATCACAAAGATGAGAATATAAAAAAAAATAGGCTTGAAATTAAATTATATTACTTCTTAATGTTAAAAAAAAAAAAAAAAAAAAAAAAAACTCTTTTTGTGTATTTTAAAATATATTTTTATATTCACAATAAGATATGATAAGTCTACAAAAATGATTGCTTTCAAAGCACCCGCAATATCAATTAACTTTTAAAATTAGCTTTTATGAAAGAAAGAGATATCAGACAACCAAAATCGTCAGTTTTATCTACAGTTCTACAGTTCTAATTATCATATTGTTTGGCTCCAAATAAACGTTTCGATTGATAAGTGAGAGTGTTATAAATCGTGACGTTGTCTATTTTCAATTCAGATATCGTAAACCTGTTAAACAGCCGTTAGCCTTGGCAGCGTGTTGCAATTGAAAAGCTAAGAAAACCGCAAGCGTTTTCCAAAAAAGTTTGACTCCACACACACTAAACATTACTAGCTACTAGCTACTAGAGTGTATTCAACTATTATTTGCAATAATTCGAAGTCCGAACGTTGAAGAAACTTGTTCACAAATTAATAGAGGGCAATGCACGAACGCTCGCGTGCCAAATTCTTAACGATTTCGTCATATAGTCGCGTGGCAGTCGTTCTTTTTTTTTATTTTTTTGTGCTTCATTTGCAGTTTTTATGAATATAGGGTAAATATTGTTTATCTGCCGTTAGTGAAAACAATCGCACTCTTTTACATTTACTGCACATTTGTTGACACTTGATAATAATTTTTCGCATTACCATAAATTGTAGGATTAAAGCGCAACAGATCAACAAACCAACTCGAGCAACGCGTTGAAACTGTTTTGCTGACCAAAAAGCGTTTGCCATGGCGACCCGAGACCGGCATTTTAGCAATTTAAGGTGAGAGCAGCAGCGGAGATGGACGCGTGACACGCACGACTATTTAACAAAATATTGATTATTATATCTGCTGTTTGTATTGTTAGTCGAACAAGAAAAATTTAATGAAAATAATGTATTACTAAAAAAAAAAATTTTTTAAAAGTCACGAAAAATTCTTCTTCACAATCATTTATGTTAAAAAAAAAACAAATAATTTTGAGATGCGTGCACGTGACACGCCAACTATCTCATCGCTCACCCCTAGGTGGGTGAGAGAGAGAAAAGCACCTCATTAAAATGACTAATGAAAAAAAAAAGAAATGACAAAATGTTCCGCCGCCTATGCTATTTTTAATTTACATAAAAAAAAAATAATTTTAAGCACCTATTACGTGCATCTTTTTCGGTCGCATTGTTAAAAAAAAAAGCAATCGATATATATTGTGGTACTATCCCTAATTTTTGCCATTCACATTGCTGCCGTGAGCGTTTGGAAAAGGTTGGCATTCCTTTAGTTTTTGTTTTGATTGTGTTCGCACGTGTTTTGCTAAATCTGCGTAAGAAAAACTTAAATTTAGAACAATGTCCGACAAGTAAGTGCTTGATAATTGTTGGATTTATTGCAATACGATAACGTAATTCAATTATTACTTTACAGATATGCTGTGCCCAACAAATTGCCTGGCAAAACAGTCTCCGTGCTGAAGCACCGCAAGCGGCGCATTCAACAGGATAAATCGGTCCTTGAACAGAAACGCACAGAACGCATTAAACGCCTAAAAAAAGCAAAGACACATCATAAATTCCGACGCGCCGAGTCCTTTGTTATGGGCTACTTAAAAGCTGAACGGACATCCAAGCGAATCAGACAAACAATTCTGCGCACAAACGTCACAGAGCAAAGCGCCAAAGCAGCTGCCGACACGAATCATAAATTACTTTTGGTGATGCGGCATGCAGGCAAAAAGATCTTCGACAAGACGACGTCGGAAATATTTAAGACTCTGCGCATGGGACAACGGCACAATGCTGTATTTCTGGAAAATAACAAGGAGAATCAATTGCTATTGCGTGTGATTGAGCCCTACGTCGTCTACGGATTTCCAACACTTTCCACCATACGTGAGCTGCTCTTCAAAAAAGGCTTTGCAAGCATCGATGGAAAAAAGACGGCCATACAGTCGAACACAATGGTGGAGGAGCAGTTGGGCGATAAGGGTGTCATCTGCTTAGAGGATATAATACACGAGATCTATACAGTTGGTCCAAATTTTGCAGCTGTAAATGAATTCCTGTGTTCTTTCATGGTAAGTTATATTAAACATAAATTCTATGTAATGTACTAATTGGATCCTTTATTTGTTTGCAGCTTTCAAGTCCACGTGATGGCTGGAAGAAGAAGGTCTCCGTGTCGTTCAAGCGGGGCGGCGAATATGGCGATCGCGGCACTGGCATAAACGAGTTGATTGCACGCTGCCTCTAAAAAAGATTAATCTAGTACACTTTTAAGTAAATTCTTTAAAGCGAACACAGCAGAAATATAGTTATATATATGTATATAAGTTTATAATACACATTTGCAAGTGCCGAAGACCCATTGTTGTTTATTTTGTAATCAATCGAGATGTCGCTTATCTACTTTGCCAGCGGCGATAGCCATGCTAACATTGAGTACCAAACGATTTCCTCGACAGCCACAGAGACAAACCAAGAGCAGTCGGAGCGATTGCACGATCGCATCTCCAAAGCACAATTCCAGAAGCTGTATGAGCGTTTTAAGAGTGCGCCAGATCAAGTTGTCGGCTGTGCGGACTTCCGTCGCATGCTGGAGGAAGTGGATATCGTGTTTAGCGACTTCACCTATACCCGTCTCTTTTTGAAAATAAATCAAAATCATGATTTTATGGTGGACTGGAATGAGTTTGTCTCCTATCTGATATTTGGCTTTCAGGAGGAGGATCCCAGCAGCCAAAAGGAGTCTCTGATTATGCCCATCTCAGCGGCGCCAGTTGTACGCAAGACCGAACATCGTTCTGCTGTCTGTTGCATCACCTTGCTCAAGGTCAAATCCGATCAGACTCCATTGGAGGATATGACAGAGTCGGCCAATTACTCATTTGGCGGTGAAGATTCACCCGAAAACTCGGGCATGTGGGTCACAGCTAGCCACGAGGGTCAGCTGCGTTTCTGGAGCGCTCATATGGAGCCACTACGGAGCGCCGTCTCCGAGAGCAGTAAGTAATAAAGAGAACTCATAACTTTACATTACTCATTATTCATAACATATTCATTGCCCATTGCAGTTCATTTGAAGGTACCCACCTGGATACTCGCTCTGCAGGCACTCTCAGATGTGAGCATCGTTTGCACCGCCTCCACAGAGCGAGAGTTGCGCTTCCATGAGACGATTGCCTCGACATTTACCCTGCGCATGGTCATTCGGAGTTTGCCCTATGCCGTCTACTGCATGAGCTATGCCTTCTACAACAATGGAAAGACCCACTCGAAGCTGGTGCTTGGCGATTATGCTGGAAACGTGCGCATCCTCTCATATTCGCCATATCTGAGGGGTCCCTTCCAGGCGAAGCCAGGCGCGGCATTGGTTGAGCTCACCTGGGCGGATGTGCTGCGTGGTCGTATTCCTCTGCTAATACCAAAGGAATACATAAATCTCCACAATGAGCTTATCTCTTGCGTATACTATTCTCTGCACATGAATGCACTATTCGCCTCGGCCGAGTATCGGAACACCAAGAAGTATCGTGGCCGCTGTCCCGGTCTCATCATGGTCAGCAATGATGATCGCAACAATTTCCGTATACCGTTGGGCGTAAGCGTTTTTTACGTGTCTGAGGTGAAGAACATATTGGTCACTGGTGGACCCGATACCTTTGTGCGCATCTGGGATGTCTATATCTCGTCGGAGCCATCTGCAATCCTTACCGGTCACAATGGCGGCATTGTGGCCGTCTTTGTGCAGCCGGAGGAGAACAAGGTGTATAGCGTTGACTATCACAAAATCATCAAGGTGTGGGATCTGCAGGAGCACACTCTGCTCCAGACCTATGGCGAGCTGGTGCGCATCATTCATCACAGCGAAATGGACATTAAATACTATTACCATTCGCATCTGCGCGAGCTCATGGTCGCCGGTCGTAAGCTCATCCAGATCAAGTGCTGTCCACGAGTTCGTGTCGACCTCACCGATGGCAACACCCACGCAGCGCCCGTATCGGTTGTACTCTACAATCGGCTCTTTCGCAACATTGTCACTTGTGGACTCGATAGCTATATTATTGTTTGGGATCCATGGACGGGTCGCCGTAAGATCATCATGAAGAACTGCCACACGAAAATGATCTATGGAGAGACCATTGATATCGAGATAACGGCCGCTTGCTTCGATCCCCTCGAACAGTTCCTCCTGACTGGGGCACGGGATGGCTCACTGAAGATTTGGAACTACAACAATTCGGTTGTGGTACGCAATATGAGCATTCAGATGGATCAGGAGGTAACCGCTGTTATCTGGGTGGTGGATCGGTATGTGGTATTCATTTATGTAAAGCATCAATTCTTAGTAAGTCTCTATTTTTATGCCCGTTTCACAGAATCCTGGCCATGGGCTGGGATCGACAGGTGACAGAGTTCAATGATGTCGAGGGTCGTGAATATGGCGATCCAAAGAAATGGGCCAAATTTCATACGGATGATATTACCTGTGCCGATGTCAAGCTGGGCGAGGGCGTCGTCACGGCCACTTACTCGGGCGAGATCATTTTCTGGAAACTGGAGACGGGACAACCGTATCGCCGCTACAATGTAATGGATCCCAGCCAGTTCATTGAGCTCAAGCTGACCGCCGAGGAGGAGAAGTTGTCGCGTCGAAGCAAGCGAATTTCCTCGCTGCTGGGCGCGAACAGGCGAAGTGCGTCCATGCTCGCTATCAAACCGGATGAGATCAAGGATTATGGTGCCAATATTCCCGTCTCGGTGCAGGCTGTGCTCTTTCTACAGAAACGTCCCATGACCAAGGATCATGGCAGTGTGTTTATCTCTTTGGACACGGGCATAATTCAGGTGTATTCCCACCATCAGCATGGCGGACATATCAAGGAATTTATAGCCGTTCACAAAGTGGGCGACTGTGTGCTGACCATGGCCACGGATCGTAAAAATCGTTTCCTCTATACGGGCACAGCCTTTGGCTACATCAAGATTTGGCACATCGTCAACTATTGGTGAGTTGCAACCGTTAGCTAACAGTATCGCGGGGAGTCTTAAAGAAATATTTGAAGCAGACATTCTTAACAGTGGCTATGTTTCATGATTGCTGAGCGAAAATAATTTTAAAGGGGTACTTAACAGCGCTGTAAAGTAACTTTAAAATGTTACTGGCAGCCACTGTTAGCCACGATCGTAAGCTAGATAATCATTAACAGAGTTAGTGCGGACTTTTTTCTTTCAAATAATATATAGAGTGATGGTCCATACTTGCCTTTCCTTCACTGCCATAGTTTACTGTATTGTAGTGGCTCGTAAAGAAACATAAAGCAACCACACAAATTGACTCTAACGACACGACTCATTATCCTACATATGTATCAACTAGACTAGACCTAGTCATCCCACCCACAAACAAAATTCCTTAGCAAGGCCTTTGCGTGTCTTGGCGTATTGCAAACAAAGTCAACTTCCATTCCATTTTCTCATTTTTTTGGCAAGAAAATATAATAAATAACTCATAACTAGAGTTGATGGTGGGGGCGAGATAGGACTTAATAGAGACAGACATTCCTATTTCATTTTCTTGAGGAAAACTGACTGGAGTTTTCCTACCTCTAGCATACCTGAGGCAGAGAAGACACATGTGTGTATGCCCAAGCTACGACTGGACTTCATATTCCTGCGAAAGGAACTGTTTTTGACGAGAGCCAAGCGCATGGTACGCAATCAGCCGGAGCCCATGCTGGTTAGCTCCTACAAGGGACATCTAAAGGCAATTAATTCGATAGGCTTCATCAATTTACCAAAGATTTTATTCAGGTAATATATCCAACAGCCTATGCACATGACTTTAATCCATTCTCTTCCTGATCCAGTGGCAGCCACGACTATTCTTGTCGTCTTTGGACACAGAGTGGACGCTACTTGGGTACTCTGGGCACTGTTTTACCCTGGTCGAAGCTGTCACCGTTTGAGCGCGCTGGTGAAGAAAATCGACCCTATCGCCTGCCGCCGGATATCAAAAAGGTGGCCAGCTCTACAACATTAAAAGTGATCTCGGGAGTACAACATTCGTTCCAAGTGAAGCGACCGAAGCCTACCGAGGAGCGAGAAGATGAAGGTGAAGTGGAAGACACAGGCACCGAAATGAAGAACATCTTCGACCGTCCGCTCCGGGAGCCTATTCTCGGCAAGCACTTCGAGTTGCCCGGCCGCAGCGCAATCGAGCAGCGCATTGAGCTCGATACGACACAACTGTATGTCCCCATCTACTCACATCTGAGGGTACACCCGTCAGATGTGATGGAGAATCTTCCAACGCCGCCAATTATTGGCCAAGTGAAAAGTGAAAACTACTTGGATCATTACATGCCAGTCGTGGGCAAAGTGGATCCCAATACTTCGGCCATCAACATCAGGGAACCGAACAAGGTAATCCGCTCCAAAGCGGGCGGTCAAGTAGGTCAGGCTCGGGCGAGCTCAACTTGGGGCAAACCAAAGACTAACTCAGTACTGGGCATGCCCAGAGCTGAATCCAGCCAAGGCAAAGCCAGGGCTAGCTCTGCCAAGGCTGGCGTCAGTTCTGGTTATGGCAGAACGAGCTTTGGTCCGAATCCGAGTCGTGTCAGGTCTAACAGTCCCAAGGTTAGCTTCATGCCAAGCCAACTAAAGACCAGCCGGAAACCAGAATCCAGTCCACGCAAAGCTAAGACCAACCCCGCTAAGGCCAAGTCGGTATCCTTTCCTGCTAAGGCTAACCCGGTACCCACGTCAGCTAAAGCCAGCCCGACATGCACTTCAGCTAAAACAAACCCGGTACCCACTTCAGCTAAAGGCAACCGGGTATCTACTTTAGCTAAATCCAACCCTGTATCGACCTCAGCTAAAGCCAAGCCGGACATCATGCCGGTCAAGATAAAGCCTGTCGTTAAAAAACCCAGCCGCAATACAGCTCCAGTCCAGATCACAACGAGCATAGCCAAAACAAAGAAAGATAAGCCTTAATCTTCGTTGGTAAAACTTAATCGAAATGTATATTTGGTTTTTATTTATTAATTTTTTTTTTTTTTTGGATACTGTTGCTCTGGGACTTAAATTAAAGTGATTCCTTCAAGTCTGTAGCAGACGCACCGCATTGTACATCTGGGCAACGGTGATTAGTTGTTTCGAGCCGCGCTTGCTTAGACATTTGTAAACATGGGTAATCAGTTTATCCAGCTGTACAATATTTATCTCCTCCGGCTTGGTGGCACTTATGGAAAGGCTGTTCTCGGTACTGGACTCCTTCTACAGAGAGAGAGAGAGAGAAAGAGAGAGTAGTTTCAACTCTGTGGATAGTTCACTCCGATCACACTTACCAAGTTATCCAGATAGGCCAGCAGCTGGTGACCCACTGATGCAATCTTTAGAAAGGCCGCCTGCGATCCGTCTGCATAGAGATTCAAGCGTCGCCCCGCGATTTCCAGCAGCAATCGGCCCAGTTCCTCATCCTCGCTGACGTCGTGCAGCAACTGCTGCGCCTCTGCATCGTAGCCAAAGGCATACAGCTCCACCACCTGCAAGGTTAATGCTTGATTCGCATGTGCAATTGCTGGCATAGACAGCAGCTGACTCACCTGTCTGCGCAGTATGGGCAGCTTGTCCAGCTGCCAGCTGTCGGCAAGCGCACATATTCTGGCCATGTAGTAGACATGGTCCAGTATGTACAGCTGCTCCAGGTCCTCGCGTATCAGATCCATAGTAGCACCAACTACATTGCAAAGGAATTGTGTACGCTGATCCTGCAGCACAAGATCTGGAGCTGGTAGTGCATAGGCCAGCTCCTTGTTGATGTCGGCCAGCAGCGCCTTGTTACTCAGGGAGTCGAAGAGCGTGGTCAGTGGACGTTGCAGACGCAGCTGAAACTGCGCTATGAAGTGCAGCACGGTGCATAGCTGTGTGTGCAGCTGGAGCAGCTCCGGCAGCGCATGGTGCTGCTGCAGAGCCAGGAATTGAAGCGGCTGCTGTCCCTCACTCAGTGACTGCTCGAACTGGAGCTCTCGCTTGTCATGCTCCAGCGAGCTTGTAAAGTGCTCCAGGAACTCTAAGCAGAGCTGGAGAAATTCGGGCACTAGCGCCGCCGACATATCCAGATCCTGCTGGCACATCTTATCCACCGGGAGGCGACCCACTTTCTGCATTAGCTTGGCCGTCGCCTGCAAAGGATACTTCAATGTCGCATTCCATATCAGACAGCAGGTACCGTGCTTGAGCGCCAGGTCTGGAGTGCGATATTGCTGTAGGCATCGGATTGCAGCGCGCATGTGTTCCAGGTTGGCCAACTGCTTGCTCCAGTGCACCATGTGTTGCCAGGCCATCAGGCTGAGCAGCACGCCCGACTCCAGGCTAAAGGGAAAGTGCGCGCGAAGCAAAGCTAAGCGCTCCAGCACCGGCTCCAGCGGTGGACTGGGCTCCACTGCACTTTCTTCCTGCTTGTCATCCTCCTCTAACTCCTCCTCCAGTTTGGGGTCTGGAACCTTTTTCTTCTGTTTCTTCGACTTCTGCTCGGGCTCATCATCCGTTTCATTCCCAGGCGGCGTTATCTCCACAATTAGCGAGGGATGCAATCGCGAGTTAATCAACCACTTGGCTGTCAGCTCCGAGACAATGCCCTTGCCGCCGCTGAGAATATTCTTCAAGCTGCAGTCGGGCTGTTCGTAAGGCAGCTCTGGTCCAACGGGCTCTCGGCAAGTCTTCGACTGACTGCAGGCGAGCAAGGAAAATTTCTAGCTATTTTTGCTTATTGACTTATTAACAGTTGGTTGAGCTCACCCGAGTATCGCGCCCAGCACAGCCACATCCTCCAGCTTGCCAGTGAGCAGTCCCCATTGTGCCTCATCGTGTGATATCGTCTCCCAGCGTTCGTCATCCTCCGTGGCACTGTCATCGCATGAGCCATCGCGTCGGTTGCGCCACAGGCGTGTGGCCACCATTCGACATACAATGGCCACCAGCAGGCCAGAGAATTGCTTGCTCTCGAGTAGAAGCTCGCGCACCTGTTGCCACCAAGGCGAAATGGCTTTATAGGCATAGTCGTTGATCTCATCGCCAGCCAGCTCACAGATGGCACGCACAATGCAGGCGATGCGGGACATTTCCTCCACGACTTCATCACTGTGTGCGAAAGGAAAAGGATAACGCGTTGGGTAAGCCTAACCTCAATTCAGTATTGTTCACGCTTACCAATTGCTGTACTTGAATGGCTTGTCGAGCCAGTAGAATATGACCAGGGTAAGCAAATCCTTGGTGGGTATGCACGCCTGGGTAACCCACTGCTTGAACTGCTCAAAACACTGAATCTGTGTAAAGAAATTGCCAAATAGATCGTTGCTAACGCTGCCATATTTATCCGACTTTGAGGGCAGCAGCGTCACGCAGTTGGGCGTGTCGATGTTAAAGATGCTCAAAAATTCCACGAACTCCTCCACCTTGTGTGAGTCCTGCAGCTGGAAGCTCACCTCGCGTACAGCTGGCTGATCGTTCTTATTTTCCAATAGAATCACTAGCTGATTAATGGTAACCAAGTCGGCATCGGAGAGCTCCAAGAGCTCTACGGGTGGGGCAACAGTTTCGCGATAATGCTCTTGGGCTTGGCTCAAGGTCAAATAAAGATCAGTCAAGCGTTTGTAGTTGGCGATTTGCTGAAGAAACTCTCGACTGGCCTCTTCCTCCGCACTGGCCTGGTCAAAGGCGTTGACAATACTTTGGAATATTTCAGGATGCAGTCGCTTGCTTTTGAGCAGCATTTCCAGACACTGCTGACGCACTTCCAACGTTTCCAGCTCCCCAGCCAGCTTGGCTATGCCAGCGATCTGCTCCTGCCTGTCCTCGCCCGAATGGCTCAGCGCTCGCAGCTGATTGCGCAAACGGCGCAACGAATGAATGTCTCGAGACGTCTTCGAGTTGGTTTCACTGAGGGCATAGTGGAATGGTATGTGCACCTCCTTGAGGCTGCCATCGCTCGGGTCAAGAAACAGGCAATAGTTCAAATTGGGCGATCGACGCATCTGCACGCCCGCCGCGCCCAACGGACTATGATTGTTGTAAACCAATTGGCCGCTCTTGCAGACATTGAACGCGGCCACTTTGGGCCCATTCTGCAGAGCCCAAATGTCCAAACAGCCGAGGCGGGGCACGTAGATGACCAGAAAGAGAGCATTCCTCCTATGTGTCTTTATCCCACGCACCGAACGCTCTTTGATCGGCACAAATGCACACTGCGCATCCCGATAGCCCTTCCACACTCGCAATATAATCGCTTGCTGTGTATCCACGAGCATCACACGATCCAGATTATCTGTAACAGCAGCCAGCTTTCCGCCAGGTGCCAGAATCAATGTTAGCCCATCGCGCTTTCCATCGTAGAGCCGACAGCGCGTGCGCATGGGCGCCTCCTTACTGGGCAGCGGCAATTGCTCCGGCGTTTCCGGCGTTGTGGCCGGCGTACGTCGAAAGAGTCCACCTAGAATATTTTTATACGCCATGCCAATGACATCCTTAGCCACTTCACCGAGTGTCACCGTCTTGTAGCCCTCCTCTGCTTCAAAGAAGCCTAAGTAGGGTTCTGCTCCAGCCGCTAAGACCTGGGCGCTGCGCACGGGAGTCGCCTGCACCCGAGCAAAGTAGCCGTTCGCAATACTTTGCTGTACAATATAATCGTATGTGGGCGAACGCTGATTCGTGCAGATAACCGCATCGTTGAGGATGCTTTCTCTCTGCAGCTTGAATTTGAATTTTTGAAAGGGCACCACATCGGAGCTGGAGTAAACGCTACGTTCCATATTACGCCGGCAATTGGAAAGCATGGGCAGTATGTCTTCGCCATTGATGAAGCACATGCAGCTACTGTAAACAATGTACAGCAACGCATCAGCTTCTGTATGGCGCGGAGGCGACAATAGCTTAATGCCCAAAACAGATTCCTCCTGACAGCTGATAAATGCAAATTTTACACAATTTGAATTTGTGAAAATGTATATACATATTTCTCTATAACTTACCATTGGGAAAAGAGCTTCACACCCGTATCTGTATAGAATGTAACCAAGCCAGAGGCCAAACCGACTGCCACGCAGGTCCACTCGATATCTGTGCCACGCAGCATTGGCATACACAATAGACTGGTGACAATTTGATTGCCATCCTCCAGCTCGCCACACCAACTAAGCGTATAGTTATTCTCATTGCTACGACTATTCCAGCAGGTGGTCAGGAATGCCAATTTTTCGCCCAGCGCTAGGGCAATCGCCTCTCCAGTGGGTGACACGGCATAGTTGATGCCGTTAAGCCAATTGTCGTCTATTTGGGAATCGGCAAACAATTATCTAGTTTATATAAAAGCTTAGCTGCTGCATTTTTACCATGTCCAAGTCCAAAGTATTCCTGTATCTTTCGAAAATCTAAAATATTTCCAAATGTTTTTACTTCGCAAGCCATTTTTCTTTGTTGTCATACCACAGCTGACAGCAGAGTGCTGCCAGACATATGCACTAACAGCTGTTATTGTACAAAATGTAAACAAGAGTAGCTCTCTCAACTTTTGCATACGATATAAATATCGATATTAAAAGGTTGCTTACACAGCACCGCGCCAATTTAAATTTCATATAAACACTTGGATAGATGGCCAATAAAACCTTTAATACTCCACGCATATTCAATGACAATGATATAATATTACTTCAAATCCGATTCCACACCACTGCCAATACTGTCGTTTATAGCAAAGCGCCAACTGTTGGGCAACAGTCGAGTCCAATTGTGAAAATGCAGGAAGAAGCTAGGTATAGCTAATTCGAGGCGATTGGAACGATGCGCCTCCACAATGCGCATAGCCACTTGTTTGGGATCCAACAAACCCCAAATACTGGGAAACCGAATTTTCGGGTTTTTGCAAAGGCCCGTATTGGTCATGTATGGATAAATAGTGGTAAGATTTATCTAAGTGATGGAAAATATGTTAAACAAGATAGACAATTATTTATATCGCATGCACTCACTTGATTTTTATAGGGTCCCTTGCGTATCTCTTCGTACAGTGCTTCCATCAAGCCGCGCACAGCGAACTTCGTTGCACAATAGGGAACCAGGTTGGGGAGACCAAACAGCCCGGCAACGGACGACATTGCGATTATGTGACCTTTGCGCTGTTTCTTCATTTGATCGAGGAATGATTGTATGGTCCAGAATTGGGAGAAAACATTAACATCGAAGACGCGAAGTATCTCTTCAGGCGTTTGCTGGGTTAAAGGATGCGTCGGCATGATGCCCGCATTATTGATCAAGACAGAGACAGGCCCCACATTCTTGTGAACACGCGTGGCCAGCTCCACTACCTGATCACGTTTCGATACATCACAGCTGTAATAAAATTCAACTTAATTTTGCATGTATACTAAGTCCGCCGTCGGAGTCACCCAAAGCTGTAGACTACGCCACGATTCAAGTGCTTCACTTCCTGCACAGTTTTTACGTTGTTCTTCTCGTTGATATCTACACAGATCACTGTGCTGCCATAACCGGCATAGAGTAAGGCTAGCTCTTTGCCAATGCCGTGCCCTGTGCCAGTTATCTGGTCATGTACAAGTTCATATATTTTTATATATGCTTTAGAGGATAACTTAGCTTAGTTACCAGCACAGTATCTTTGCTTATATCCTTCAGTTGTTTAGACACTAACGATCGCAACATTGTACGTATTATTTCCATTCCATTCGTACAAAGGCACTAGAAACTGTAGAAAGTCCAACAAAAATGCTAATATTATTTGCAATGTGGTTATGGTGCGAAAATTAGCTGCATTTATCTTTCTTTACTTATAATAAATATTAATTTTGATTATATATTTTTTGTTGTTTTTTTTTTTTGTTTTGTTGTTTTTATTGTTTTTGTTTTTCCTTTTTTTTTTGTTATTGTTTTGTTTTCTTCAAATAGTTTATAACTGTCATTTTTAATTAGAAATGCCTACCGATATTCTCTTCAAGTTGTTTTCGTCAGGAAATTTCAATTGAACTCGATTTCAAATTAATAAGGTTCAATATGTGCGTTTAATCTGTTTAAAAATTTAACAGCCACAAATTAGTTTGCTAAATGGCTGTTAACATATCTAACAGTATAAACTCGCCGGCAAGTTATTAGCGCGAACCTATATTAGACAAGCGTATGACCAGGCTTCTGAATTATTTAAGTCGATATTAGTATCGACTTAAACATTAATCGAGCACTTTGCTTGCATTTAGACACTTGGATCGATGGCCAATAAAACCTTTAATATTCCATACATATTCTATGACTAACGGGTACAATATTACTTCAAATCCGACTCCACACCACTATCAATATAGTCTTTCAGCAGAATGCCACAGCTGCTGGGCAACAGTCGAGTCCAATTGTTAATGTACATCAAACAACTGGGTATCGTTACTTCCAGGCAATCGGAACGATGCGCCTCCACGATGCGCATAGCCACATGTTTGGGATCCAACAAACCCAAAATACTGGGAAACTTAACTTTCGGATACTTGCAAAGACCCGTATTGGTCATGTATGGAAAAATAGTCGTAACTTTTATCTAAAGAACGGAAAACAAATATAATTATGTTAACGGTCTTTATGTTATGGGTGCTTACCAAATCTTTGTACGGTCCCTCGCGCAACTCTTCATGTAGTGCTTCCATCAAGCCGCGTACGGCAAACTTGGTTGCACAATAGGGAACCAAGTTGGAAAGACCCACCAGCCCGGCAATGGACGACAATGAGATGATGTGACCTTTGCCTTGTTCCTTCATTTGATCCAGGAATGCTTGTATGGTCCAGAACTGGGAAAATACGTTAACGTCGAAGACGCGAAGGATCTCCTCAGCCGATTGCTGGGGCAGAGGATGCGTCGGCATGATGCCCACATTATTGACCAAAACAGAAACAGGCCCCACTTCCGACTGCACACGCTTGGCTAGACCCACGACCTGATCACGTTTCGATACATCACAGCTGCAGTAAAATGCAAATTTATTTCTCCTAATTTCTATGTCTGCTTTTCCACTCACCTAAAACTGTGGACAGCGCCACGATTTAAGCGCTTCACATCCTGCACAGTTTTCATATTGTTCTTCTCGTCGATATCCACACAGATCACTGTGCTGCCATGAGCGGCATAGTGTAAGGCGAGCTCTCTGCCAATTCCATGTCCTGTTCCAGTTATCTGGGTATATATGTGTGCACATACATTAATATATGTTCACGTGTAACATAAGTAATCTTAGTTACCAGCACAATTTCGTTGCTTATATCCTTCAGGTTTTTGGGTAATAACAATCGCAGCAGCACAGCTAATATATCCATTAACAAGCGGGCAAACAGCACTAAAAACTGTAGAACATCCTGCAAAAATTCAAACATTCTTTTCGATGCGGTTGTTGTGCTAAAATTAAACAAAGACGAGTAAACAATAAAAAAAAGTAAAATAAAATATTAAAATTTAATATGTCACATATAACAAATATAAAAAAAAAAATCAAAAAAAACTCTAACTGTAAACAACAAATTATCATATTTGATGCAAAAAAATTAAAAAAAAAACTAACAGCAATGGCAAAAACCAGGGCAATAATTAGCAAAAAAATAAAAAAAAAAACCCAAACGTGCCAAAAAAAATCCCTTAAAGGTGGCAAAAAAAATTCAAAAAAAAAAATTAACAGTCGCCCATGAATTTAACAAATATTTGCAAAAAAAAAAAAAAAAAAAAATGAATATACAGATATGCAAACGAATCTAACGACATTTGCACTTGCAAAAAATGATTTAATATAACTATTTGCATGCGGCCTTAGGTACATTTCGACTAAACGTTCAAACGGTCAACGGACTTTTGCGTTATGCTAATGATGATAAACCGAGCTCTGGCTAGCTATGGGCATATATAAACAATATAAATATACAAATGTATATATGTATCTGTATAGTGGCTATCTATCATTGAATTGCTGCCAGTATTGACGATAAAACTTGGCCTAGTTGTTGGGCTTAGAACTTTGACAAATATCCATTAGGTCGATGACAATGCATTCATTGAATGCACGCAGTTACTATACGAGTTGTGTTTGTTGTTGTTGCTGCTGCTGCTAATGCACAATTTATATTAATTATTACAGTCCATTAGTATTGTTAGTATTTAGCACTTACTGTATAATTTCTCGCTCAATCATGTTGTTGAGTAATTTTGTTTGGCTTCTTTCTGAAAATATTTGATGCAAAGTTTTCAATTTGTTTTGTTTTCATTACATTTTAATTTCAATGTTTTACGCCTCAAGTGCGGTAACAAATGCTGTCTTCCGTATTCGCAACCTTTTGGGAACGAGCTGATGCGACGAGCTTGTTGAAGAAGGTTGTGGAAGGGGAAGCGGGACTTAAAGGAGCGGAAGAGTCGGCGTAGGTGAACCAGCTGCAAGCGTTTTTTTTTTTTTTTCTTTCTTTCTTTTTTTGCTGTTTATATGCAACGTTTTCACTTTCCTTTTTAGCCAAAATGAAAATTACGTGTAACACTATGTGGCACGCACACACACTCACACAGACAGTGACTTTTCCGCTTAGCTCAATGTTCAGACAGACCGAACGACCGACTGAGGCGATTCTCTTTTTGTGGCAACAACATGTTGCAATGTCTTAGACAGACAGGCAGACAGAGTGAGAGGGAGAGGCAAATAGATGGCAATGTCTTTTGCAATTGAATGGGGAGCGAGGTGCGCTTTAACAATTTGAACTACTTGCAACTTGCCACAAAAATTAGTTGATTTCCGTTATGCAACTCGAGTCGTATTTTGTTTTTCTTTACTTTAAAGCTACTTTCAGCTGTGCAACCGCAATGCTTCGCTGCCTGCCACCAACTGATTTGAGCTGCGCGCGCCAAGTCAACGAAAACTTGACTGAGCTTCGAAATGGAAAGAGCACAAAAGTGCAAAAGTGTGTAGGAGAATGACTGAGAGCAACCGAGTGAGAGAGAGGAGGAGAAAGAGATTGTGTGGGGAATCCTTGGTAAACAAAATTTAGCACCAAGTCAAGGACAAAAGTGCTCCGAAATAAAAATATGTTTATGGTGACCCAAGCCGAAGCAAAGGCGAGCTGTGACCTTCGGTTGACAACTTTAAAACAAAAGGTGACGCGCAGCTTCATTATGAAACTTCATTATGTTTAGGTCTCACATGCCCATTGCAAATGCACGGTGTGAGGAGTATGAGCTGGTGCAAAAGTATGTAACGTACAGATTCAGATAATTTTAAAATTCAATTTGATCGTTAGATATACGATACATCGATTATTATCGATTTTCATTATTTTGTACATAAATTTATCTTAAATGTAAAAACACACTCAGCTAATACCGGCTGATAGGCTTAACTTCCATTTGCTTACAGGGTATATAACGGTCAAGCACTTTCATTATCAAACGTCTTACTCATCTCGTTACTGTTGCTGTTGCATGATTTACCGTTTTCGGAGCGCTTTGCGCTTTGCGCAGACCAACAAAAAGCAAAAGCAAAAGCAAAACGCTTCCCGCGGGTTGTTTGTATTACTCGTAATGAAGACTGATGACAAAGCAACAGTTCGGCGCCCAAGTTCAAGTTCAGTAAGTCCGAGCTTGTTAATATGCATATAGAGGTATCTACATAAGTATGTACTGAATAAAGTATAACGCAAAACAAAACATGAACTTTATCATGCGATTGTTGGGACAGGGCTTTGGGTTGTGCAGTTGCTCTGATCTTTTGCGCTTCGTATCGCATGTGCGTGATTGCAGTTTTTAATTATCCCTCTCGCTCTTCGCTTATCTCTTTCCTTCTTCCCCTCTCGCTCTCTCCCTCTCCCTCTCTCTTTCTGATACAACCAGTTTGATTGCTCTGCAAGTAGATATCAAGCCTCTTGTTCTGACTACAAATTGGAGAAGGTCAGTTAAGGGTCTCTGCATCAACTCAGATCGCTAATTGAACAGCTCCGAGCGCCGAGCGCCGAGCGCCGAGCGCTGCGAATAATTGAAGTCAATTTGTTTGATCAGCTTTTAGACTATATTCTATATAGGATTGATTCGCTATTTGCTTGTGAGAGCAATTAAGTCAAAAATGCTTAGATTTGTTTATAGCCTATTAATAATTATATTAATATTAAATGCATACTTTTTATGAATGGGATTATCAAATAAGATTATTAGCTCAATATATGCAATTTTGCAAATTTTGAAAAAGAAGAAGTACCTGAACGTGAATGAATATTTATAATACCTTATAATTGAATTTACTTTGTATATATTATAAAAATAACATAAAAAACTATGACCATTGTTCTGCTTGGAAGCAAAAGCTAAGCCATTGACGGCGCGAAGGCTACTCATTCAGAATTTTATATCTAAAATTGTGTTTTCCCAAAGCGCCACTATACCTAAAAATACCCCATAGCTCAGCATTAAAGTATGAAATTGTATCTATACATAAATCAAATATTGAGCTTTTCGTGACTTTTTCGAAAATCGTCAAATCAGTTGCGGTGCTTTGTTTGCCACAAATCAAAGTAAACATTGACTGGTTCCACATTGAACACTCGTTCGGGAACTGCAAAGGGGCATATTCGGCTTATATAAAAATCAAAACATATCACAGTTWCTGAATTGATATTTCAAATATATTAATAGCTTATTTTGTCTACAACTAAGTATAAAAACAAGTAAGAAAGCTCTAGTCGAGACTGCTCGACTACGAGATCCCCTGAACCCTTGGAGTAATAGCTATTTCAATAATTTTTCGCGTCTTTCAGCTTACACAAGAAACACGCACACACACACACACACACACACGCACGCACGCACGCACACACAGGCATACATACACACACATACACACACACACACACACACACACACATACACAAACAATTACATACATATACACACACAAGCATAAACACGCATGGGCGGCAGTGAGCGCTTACTATGAGAACTTAATTGCTTAATAACTTTTTTTGTGGACGTACGATCTTCATGAAACTTTCAGATTATGATTATAACATGGATATGCATGTAATTGCCAAAGCACAAGTCTCTAGTATTTGAAATACGNTTTTTTTTTTTTTTTGTAGATCTAAGCATCGAAACATAGTCTCTTTTTACCGTAACCCTAATATTGTGACTCTTCCTCTTCTGTATGAATGTTAAAAAATGGCTTGGGAACAATATTATACAAATACGTAAATTCATATATGGATATACGTCACATATGGGCAACATTTGATGACCTTGACGTTATGTACATATGCATATGTATTTGTTAACACATTAACTATGCCAACTCCACTAAATGCATTCCAAATGTTCCTTTAATGGGCGCACACACAGCAACACATCTACAGACAAACACACACGCACACACACACATACACATAGTCACGCCGGGTATTCGATTGTTTGTCTTTTTAATTGTCAATTCTGTTATTTCAGCAACAAACGCAGGCTAAATGCAAATGCGCTAGCAACAGCCAGCAGCCGTTACGCTACGTTACGTTACGTTACGCGGCATTACGTGACACTAGGCGCTTACGTCGTGCAAGCTGACAATGCGAGCAGCGCAGCGCAGCCTAAAAGTCGGCTTCAGTTGTCTTTGACATGCGAAGCGGCGAGCAACGTGACGAACAAAACTAACGGCATATACGAAACAGGCAGAAAGAGCAAAATGTAAGCGCAGACCGTGAATGTGTATTAGTATGAGTGTATGAGTGTGTTTGACTGAGTGAGAGCTTGCGGCTTTTACGTTTGTGTGTGTGTTGAGCCCGTGATTTGTTTACCTGTCAAAATAATAAATAAAACTTTCGTGTTGCCAGTGCCGCATCAAATACATTTTTTATTGTTGTTATTATTGTAACTATTGCCGTTGCTGCTGCTGCTGCTGCTGTTGTTGTTGTTGTTGTTGTTGTCGGCGTTGGCATTGGGTGACGCGGAAGCAACTCATGTCGCCTTTTGCCTTGGCTTTCATTTCTTGGCGCCTGCAGTCTGCAGTCTGACCCTCAACTGAAATTGCCGAGTCAAAAGTCGAAAGGATAAACGTGCGCTAGCTATATAGCTAAATATATTATGGTGGAGCGGCAAAGGGTAAAGAGTGAAAAGTACTTTATTTTCTATGACAGGAAAAACGATTTCACTTACGTCTAGGATATTCAATTACATTGCGAGCGCAATCGCTAAATAATGCATTTTCACGCGTGTGCAACAGTCAAATGGAATTCATGTTCGTAACCTTTATTTTCACAACTAAAGTCGGGATAGCGTCTAGTCGCTAACGATGTAATACAAACTTATAGCAAATATTGCTCATGATACATTTCCAATACTCTTAAATTTTAATGCCTTTTTGAACATCTAACTAAAAACTACGTTTTAAACGTCATTAATCCGAACTGATTTGTGATATCTCGCTCTAGGAATTCATTCAAACTATTTTTGGATGTATCAGAATGTCGTTGTCCACGGCGCTGATGCCGCAGCAGCGACCGCAATGCAACCGAAAGAGCGCCCAGATCTTCGCCAGATTCTTCGAGCAACGCTATGGTAACTGGAGTTGTATGAGGAACAGAGGTATTTGCCGTAGCGCACAGGCCGTTGTCGAGCAGCAGGTGCAACAGGTGAGATGTGTCGACCAGCAGCTGGGCACCTTCATTCAAACACAGCAACGTGGCAGCTTCGTGGCACTGCAGCGAAATCAGCTTCTGGCTCTGCATCGCGAAGACTATAGAATCTATCCGCAGAGCGTTGACTTGGATTCGTTCTTCAGCGAGCAGGAGAAGTGTGATAAGGTGTCGGATGTCTGCCTGCTCAACGATCACTTCATACTGGTCAAGATGCCGCAGCAGGAGCCAGAGCAGGGACAGAAGCTGGCGCAGCTGCATCACGTGCCGGAGCTGAATGTCCCTCAGCCCGAACAGCAACGGAAGCTGAGCTCCCGTTTGCCTCGCTGCTTCAAGTGCAATCGCAGCAATCGCGTTTCGCCAATTCTTGAGGAGCTGGAGGAGACCGAGCCAGTGGGCTATAGGCCCTGGATAGTCCACGGTGATGACGATGTCGAGGTCTTCAGCTCCACCACACGGATCATACCCGTCCACAGTAAGCAGGAAATGCAGGCCATTTCGTTGCCAACACATACAGCTGGAGAGGATTCGGCTGTGGTGGAGCAACCGCTGCCAAAGCTGCAGTTGGAGACGCTACAAACGTCCCCTCCAGCTGCTGTCACTGTCTCCTCACATCCCATCAGTCGTGGCCCCTTCCACTGGTTCCTCTGGCCCTTTCGCAGGCGTCTGCAAAGACGAAAAGCCCCGCTTGCTGCCGTCCATAAGACCTACTTCATCACCTGGAAAAAGCCGCCAGAAACGCTGTGGCGTGGCTATGGCGTAGACCGCGCCGTGGCGGACAAAGTTGCGCTACGTCGTTGTCGCTCCGCCATATTTTGAATTGATTTCTAGAGAAACTACTCTCTGTATATTTTGTATATATTAATTTGAGAAAAACTCAAAAGACCAAATGAGCTTATGATAGGATTCAATAAAATAAGAACTCAATCAAAAATACCATAGATATTGTGTTAAATGTTTATATGCTTAATGCAGGCATGACCTGACATCAATATAAGCATTGGTATTGAATAAAATATAAATATATAATTATATTTTATATTAATATGTAGATATGGCTAGAAAATTAATACAAAACATGCTGGTATAGATAATACGTATTGCTATATTTTGGATATCGGCTAGACAGAAATTGTGGCATAGATAAAACACTATAGATTTGTGATAAAAAAAAAAATAAATAAATAAATAAATAATAGCTGCATCATTTCCAAGTTGGGACACATATTCTTGATCACAACATATCATGAATGTAGTTCTGGCTTACCTACAATAAAATCTCTGAAACGGGCGAAATTCTCATACACATGGCTAAAAATGTGCATGATTTGTTTATCAGCCGACGTTTCATTTTATGTCAGTAACGGTCGGCAGTTGCTGCCGCGGGGAACAAAATTTTAACGGAAATTTTTGTAAAATTACAGAACAGGAGGTCTAAAAAAGTTAAGTTAACAGTATACTGTTAATTAACAGTGTAGACTATGTTAACAACAGTGCATCAACAGTGTAATAATAATACACTGTAAACTGACATTTTTGACCCTACTACTCATTTCTGTTCGCCTGGTACTTCTAAAAGTTTCTCAGCTAATTTGGTGAAATACCAGGCGCACAGAAACGATAAGTAGGGTGCAAACATTTCATTAACATTACATTAACAGTTTACTGTTACCATACTGTTATTTAACAGAGTAATTAAAGTGCGGTAACAGTRCTCTGTTAATATACTGTTAGCTGACATTTTTGACCCTACTACTCATTTCTGTTCGCCTGGTACTTCTAAAAGTTTCTCAGCCATTTTGGTGAATTACCAGGCGCACAGAAACGATAAGTAGGGTGCAACGTATTCATTAACAGTATATTAACAGTGTACTGTTACCATACTGTTATTTAACAGAGTAATTAAAGTGCGGTAACAGTACTCTGTTAATATACTGTTAGCTTACATTTTTGACCCTACTACTCATTTCTGTTCGCCTGGTACTTCTAAAAGTTTCTCAGCCATTTTGGTGAATTACCAGGCGCACAGAAATGAGAAGTAGGGTGCAACGTATTCATTAACAGTATATTAACAGTGTACTGTTACCATACTGTTATTTAACAGAGTAATTAAAGTGCGGTAACAGTGCTCTGTTAATATACTGTTAGCTGACATTTTTGACCCTACTACTCATTTCTGTTCGCCTGGTACTTCTAAAAGTTTCTCAGCCATTTTGGCGAAATACCAGGCGCACAGAATCGATGAGTAGGGTGCAAACATTTCATTAACAGTATATTAACAGTGTACGGTGACCATACTGTTATTTAACAGACTAACAACGTTGTTATGTTATGTTACCATTTAACCTTTGTCACTCTGCTACTCATTTCTGTTCACCTGTTATTTCTGAACGTTGCCGTTCAAATTTCGGCCCCAACCGCCACAACAGCCTCCCTAAGTTATGCAACAGTATTTTGTGTGGAGCATATGTTTAACCGTTGACTTTGAATATTTATTCCCAGTAAAGAAACCCTGTTAAATAAGAACACTGTATATTTATTGACCAAACTGATTTATTGCTTTTCAAATTTACATAGTTTTTTCTGATTTAAATCTACATTTATTTATACACATATACATAGCACTTAAATTATATTAATATTATACTTAATACTATCCTGCGTTATTTACTTTAGCGTGGATGATGCTCTCCTGCCCTCTTAGCTGAAGAAGCGCCTTTATCTGAAAATATTAAAGTTATTTTAGAATAAATAAATGGAATAAATGGTAATATGGTACGGCTTGGTGTAGATTCACACTTACCTCTGAAGACCATCATGAGTCTTGCATGATTTATTTCTGCGTCCACTTAATTTGCAGTTTAGCTCTCAGCAACAGACTTCTCTCCTAGAAAAAATGAAATAGATAATATATTTTGTTAATAACAAATCTGTATTATTTAAATAAATCCGCTATATTTAGATTACTGCCTAATAAAGATTCCATCTTTTCTATATATGTATATGTATATCTCTCTCTTTCTCTCTCTCTCTATCTCTGTATCTGTCTCTCTATTCCTTCCTTTCTATGTTGCACCCACTATTTCTCTCTCTACTTCTTCTCTTATTCTCTTATTCTTTCCCTCCCACTAATTATATTTCTATTTCTCTCCCACTCTCTATTTCTCTTTTTCTGTCTCTCTCTTTGTGTCTCTTCCTCTCTCTCCCCCTTTCTACCACTCTATCTCTCTCCTCCTCTCTCTCCCTTTCTCTCCCTGCCTCTCTCTCTCTCTCTCTCTCATCCTCTCTCTCTCTCTCTCATTTTCTTCTCTTAAAGCCCATACTTTAATATAGTTTAATATGCCATGTTAAAAAGTATTCAATCAGTGCCAGAGAAACAAACTTCCACAAGTCAAACTTAATTTCCGCGAACATAAGCTATACAAATAAATATATATACTTATTTAGAAGGATAATATGTATGTATGTATGTATGTATTAAACGCTAAACGCTAAACGTGCCACATGCCGCATTTAGTTTGCTGTAAAATAAACAAAATAAACGCAAAGTACGTAAATTGCGAGCAAACTGCAGATAAAGCAAAAACATAAAAACACACAAACAAACTTTCAACTCCTTTCTTTTATTTTCAAAGGAATTTGCACGCGTCCATGAAGTCGACTCGAAGCCTTCCTCTGCTGCCAGCTGTGGCTGAGGCCAGGTCTACATTGTCGCATTTGCTGTTTCTGTTGTTGTTGTTGTTGTTGTAGTTGTTGGTGCCGGCGCATACCGTGAAGGGGGCTTCATTAGCTGTTAGTTTGGGCCCTGCCTTCGCGGAATGTCGGGCAATGCCGTTCGTTACTCTCCGCCAGCCGCTAGGTGGCGCTGCTCACGAAGCGTGCGACTAATTACGTTGGCTACCATAAAAATGGAGAAAAGAGTGAGCCACTCGCAAGTTAACGACTGCACAATACTCTGTAACTGACAGGCAGTGACTCTTAAACTGTAATTTATGCAAAAAAATTTTCTCCGATTAGCATAAGTTTTATCTTCTTAGCCCAGTTATAAATTTGATTTGAGTTAATATTTACTCATATATATAATTTTCTCATAAATATATACATTATATAGACTCTATTTACATACTTATATAAATATAAATAAATTCAAATTATAATAAATTCAACAAAAAGTGAAAAGAAACACAATAGAAATAAATTATGTAAAATGACATCAACTATATTTTTATAGACAAATATATTTATAGTAAATTCTTAGCCCATTAACGTCTACAGTTCTATATACTCCTAATTGCATATATCAAATAGGGTATATAAAATAACAATACGCCCTCAGCGAGAAAAACAAAGTCGCATTGCCAAATACTACGGAATACCCCCGTTCTGGCTCTCACTTGCCCCCTCTCCCTGTCTACCTATTTTTCTTCGTCTCTCTCTCTCTCTCTCTCTCTCTCTCTCTCTCTCTCTGTCGCTGTTTTATGGCAGGTCGACTGCAAGCTCCCCGTGCCGCAATCTACATAATAATAATAAAAAAAAATTAAAATCGTCACGCCAGGCGTCAGTGCAGTGAAGCAATCGCGGCGTGAACAAAGCCCACGGCAAACCCAAAAGGAGTTCGAGACTTGAGACTCGAGACGGAGACTCGAGACTGGACTGGAGGTCTAGCTGTAGCAGTACTGAGGCACCAGGTCATATAATAACAAACCATTAATATTAATATGCAGCAAGAGCAGCAACAGCAGCTAGGTAGCGCCCAGGCGATAAGATGTCTAAGTTTTCTTTTTCATATATCGAAAATCGAAAATAATATGACCATTGTTCTCTGTTGATTGCCCTTCTTCAGGCGTCAGCCGTCGGCTTGGACTATTTGTCATTAATTATAATGTCAGTTGGGCACAGGTGAGCGCATTAGCATTGTCCATTTATTGTATTAGATGGCATAAGCCCCGCTCGCAGCGTTGCGAGCAAACCAATTCAAACCGGGGGGTTGGGCGCCACCTGTCGGCATGTAGAGGCAACTCAGCTAGTTAATTAGCTAGAGTTAGTTGCAATTGCTTTTGTTAATGTGCAATTCGGATTAGGATACTACAAACTGAGCATTTAGCACTCCATTAGCTGTACATGACACTAACCATCTACCTATATGTATATGTCTATGGCTAAAGATATCCATTTAATTTTGTGCTCTAAAGTAGCGTAACGGTTCCAGAGTCTCGGCGTAAATTTGCGCAGTTTGGTTTTGTGGTCCAAACAGAAGACACTTGCTGAGTGCAGCTTGCCAAAAGGAAGCTGACAAGTTGCTAACCAAGAGGTCGACTATAAATGCAACCAGCAGAAGGTCCCGCCAAGCATTCCAAATCGATTACGACTATTTTGAAAGATCAAAAGCATCTCCTTCGCTCCCTTTCTCACTCTCTCTCCCTCCCTGTCTCTCTGTCTCTCACTCTGTGTAGCTCTAACTTCTTCTATGTGTTTATTAATAAAACTCCAACTGGCAGGAGGATCGCGAAACAGAAACAGTTGGTGGTAGCATCTCTACAAAGTGTTGACAATGCTCAGTTTTTCTAGTTTGCAGTTTGCCGTATTCAATTTTCAGTTTTGAGTTTTCAGTTTGGCCCTAGTCCAACTGCGCAATGGCCTTCGACCTGCGCTCGTCGTGTCCTGCAATCATCGTTAATGATCGCAATGTCCTTGTGTGCCTCAATTTGACAAATCAATTTGTGTGAGCTAACAGCATGTGCTGACTCGACTGCCGGTGGGACAGCAACACGAAACGGGACGAGCAGGACGAACGAGGACACCAACCGAAGCGCTGAGCAACTGAGCAGCCAGACAGTAGTTCGTCGTGACAGACCAAACCAAAATGTTTGCCAATAGACATAGACTAAACGATGCCTCTAGAAGTGTCCCAGAGTGAGCCATTCAAATGAATTATCTATAGAAAACACAGGCCTATATCGACTCAGCAAGTTATGAGAGTTTTATATAGAGATAATATAATACAAGTTTAAATAGTATTGTAATACAACTATGTGAAACATTTAAGAAAAAAAAGAAATATATATGTAGAAAACAAAATTAATCAAAACTTAAGATATGAAATGTGAATATATATGTTTTGAATATTAATTTAAAAATTGTTGTATTCAATAATTATTTAATGAAGTCTTAAGTCAAATCTGAGCTAATATTCTTTATTGATTGTTAAAATATTCTTTATACCACCCAATATAGATTATTCTGTCCAAACTCAGCCCTTACTAAAACAGACTCTGCATCAATCTGCGAGATTGACCACGGATCAGGCTTATATGCTGAGTCCAATCGAAAAACTATTTTTATAGGGACATACATATATAATAATTGTTTATATTTTGTATATTTATATACTATAGCATTTACACCATATGCAGAAAGGGAAATAAAAATGGTCTGCTACTCAGGTGATGCTGAAGTATATAAGAAATCATAATAACTTCTCTTAACTACACTTTAGACTAATTATCAGAAATCTAGAGTAGTTAAGATATAGATTCATTCAGCTTAGACTTTTGGCTATTATCCTCGATTATCCTTGACTTACGGACTTTGCAGGCAGCCTTCAATGCAGCACCGTTTCAGCAGTTGCAGCAAACACCTCATTAGCAAGGATTATTGGCCCTTGCGAAAGGATCGTCCGCTGGCTGCCTGCCAGGACATTGGTGCCGGTGCTCTACCTGACTTTGACTTCGTTTTGAGAGTTCGCGCTGAAAGCTAAGCCTTTCTACGCTTAACTCTTGCCTGTTGACCCACAAAAGGGGTTCGTGTCCGAACTGCGCATGCGCTTCGTCCTCAGACAGGACGAAAAGAATGGAAGGCAAATAAAAGTTTATGATGGCATCGTAAAGTGAGTCGAAGTCGCGCTGCTGGCTGCGCTTCTTGCTTCTTGCTTCCTGGCAGCAAAGGATTATTTCCGAACTGCCTTAATCCTCGGCCAGTGTTTATGCTGCTTGTCTGTCCCTGGCAAATCCTTTCACCAGCCTGAATCCAGAATTCTCAATCCCGCATCCAGACTCCTGCCTCCAGGAACTCACAATTTATTCGCACACAGTTTGCACAAATATTTGGGATAGTCCCGCTTGACTCTCGCCTCGACCCTGTAAATATTTTGAGGTTTTGCGCTTCTTATGGCCCAGGCAACGCCTGATGAAGCCAACTGAACGCCGAATCGAGGTTATTATTGGACCATCAGCGCTTTCATTGCGCTGGTATACAGGTATACGTCTGATCTCTGGCTAACCATTTATAATTATGTCTAAATAATAACAAACTTTTAGATTTATTATATATAGATGTTGAATAAGGAATAGATGTTGAATACGGAATACCCTAAGTAATTCAGATTAATTTAATTATATTATATACTCTCCATATATGTATATTCTATACTCTATATTTTATATTTTATATTTTATATTCTAAATGATAACTATAAAATATCCTTATACGGTAACATATTTCTCATTAAATTCGTAATACCCTCTGTTAGGGCATAATAAATTAAATTTATAGCTCATCTCTGGCTTCGTCGCTGTGGATATATTGTAAATTACTATTTTCCTACCTTTGATGTTCAACACTTTGTTGGTCCATTAATCAAGTCAAGTGAAGTGAGCAGCAGTCAGCCTCCGCCCCTGATCCTCGCAGAGCTCAAGTCGAGCGTCCGCTCCAAAAGTTCATTAGTCGAAAGACTCGACTCTGGCTCCGCCGTTGGGTTCAAGCCCAGCACTGAGCTTACGAACTTCGACTCGGGGAATTGGTTGTAATGCCTTTTCGCTACCGAAAATTAATGCGTAGTATTTAAGATTTGTAACATTTAGACAAAATACATTTGTATTTGAGTCTGGCAAAGCTTTCCCAGCTACCGTACTTATATCTCTATATATTCATGTGTGTGTGTGCTTGTGTAAGTAAAAGGGGAATTGGGGGCCTGTTGATCAAATTTTAATTAAAGCTAAAATTTATTGAGCTTGTTGCATTATTAGCCTAGCTGGAGATGACGAGAGGGAGAAATCCGAGGTGCTATTAAATTGGCATTAGACAAGCTTCGTAATTTGGGCAATAGCCTATAAAAATGAAAGAAAATAAAATACATTTTCCTCTAAGCATTTCAAAATAGAATGTAAAATATAAATAAAATATATATAAAGGAAATGCAGCAAGATTTTCAATCAAACCTATCCATATAATCGGATTGTGATGCAAAACTCGATTTGATATTTATTATACCCTGAACCCATTGAAAATGGGAAATCAGGGTATAATGGTTTTGTTAAAAGTATGTAACAGGCAGAAGGAGGCGTGGCAGACCCCACAAAGTATATATATTCTTGATCAGGGCGACGAGCTGAGTCGATTTGGCCCTGTCCGTCTGTCTGTCCGTCCGTCCGTCCGTCCGTCCGTCCGTCCGTCCGTCCGTCCGTCCGTCCGTCCGCCGTATGTATGAACGCGTCGATTTCAGAAGATATAAGAGCTAGAGACTTCAANTAAAAAGCGTATTTCAAATACTAGAGACTTGGGCTTTGGAATATACACACATATTCACCATATGATTACGCTCTAAAAGTTTCATTAAGATCGTATGTCTACAAAAGAAATTATTTAACAAATAAATTCTCATAATATTGCCCACACTGCAGCGCAGCCCAAGCGCAGTCGCTGCTTACTGCGCAGTTAGCAGAGCGCAGGCTTATGCGTGCGTGTGGATGCATGTGTATGTATGTGTGCATAAAAGAAGTGCAGAATGATTAGAATATCAGCTTGGAGGGTTCAGGGTATCTCCTAGTCGAGCAGTCTCGACTGGAGCTTTCTTACTTGTTATCATTTAATTTTATAATACACATGATAGTCGAATATTTCACTAGTAATATAGTAGTAGTAGGTATAGTAGTAGTAGTATAGTAGTAGCAGTAAAAATAGTAGTAGCCGATTAGAAGTAGTAGGCATTAACAGCAAATTCAACAGTAGATATAGTTATAGTAGTATAATAGTAGCAGATTTAGTAGTTTATTAACTACTAGTAGTAATAGTAGTGGACATGATTGTTATATTATAATTATAATATTAGAATATTAGTAGATTCAGTAGTAGATAACAGAGCTGCATCATGCCATGACATATTAGTTTTCATAGAGATAGAAAAATCCCTGATTATGGATCTAGAACAAGAATACTATCATAATAATCTATAGACAATTGTCTCAATACACTTTAACCGAATATCTCACTCTAAGGCTCTATAAAAAACACAAGCTCACCGAAAATGTTTGCCAAAAGAAAAACAAAGTCAAAACCCCGAAATAAATCTCAAGTTCTAAATAGATTTTGTGCAATTTGTGCAAAAATGAGTAGGAACTGCTTGAAAGTACCTGGAACAAGTGAATCCTAAATCGATTGTAAAGTCAATATTTACTTTAGCTGTGCACAGACAGAAAGAGACAGAACGAGAAAGAAAACACGATTAGGATAAACATTTTTCAAGTTGAAAAACTAGATTAAAATAATATACAACAGAGATATTCGAGAAACAGCCTCGGGGCTTGTCTGAGCTGTCTACGACTCGACAACGAGACTGACTTCATTAATTGCTCACGTAGTTAGGTGTTGAGCTGGATGGGTCGTAGATGCTACGACAGGATAATGCTGAAAATCGAGGTGTGAATTTGAGGTAAATTGTTGGCTCTCGACAGAGGGCAATTAGGCAGTTCGATAGAATTGATGGGCCATTAACACCTTGGTTGGAGTTATTGGTCCAGTTTTGAGGGCTATTGTAAAAGGCAAAAGGATACTTCCGTATGACGAGCGATTGTGGAGTTGTAGGGAATTCGTAAAAAGAAACTACAAAAATATATAGAAGTAAACCAAAGGTAAGTAACTGCTATGCGATCTACGCATATCTATTTCTATATTCAAACTTTGAGAGCTGAATGATTTTTCGAATAGCTAAGCATATTTATTAAATTATCGATAGCTTCTTCTATACTTATAAAATCAATAAAGATCGTATTTTAGTTTCTTTGAAGTGTATAAAAAATGCAATAACAATTCATCAAAGTTCTTTTCTTTTTAAAGGTCGATTTTTCATTTGAATCTAAATGAAACACAATAATTTTTTGGTCTAACACATATATCATAAATAATGATAGGACTTAGGGAAACCATTTTGGAATATGTCTTCATTGACAATATCCATTAAAAAAGACTATAACTAATCGATAACTATCGATTCGAAACTGCTTAACTGTTTTTACCAGAATTTTAAGATGCTAAACATAAAAAAAATCATCTAAATTTTCCCATTTCTACAGCCACGCCTTGAACTATGTGAAAACACGTAGATCTCTGCAGAGTATCGATGAGTCGTGCGCGTTTCGACCTGGTCTTAAGCGAAACTGGGATCACAGCAGGCTGGCCATCGCGAGTGTCCCCGTTGAGTTTGTTGAAATCTTGACGAGAGACGCTACTTAAAGGCCCTAATGTGCGCAGATTTTGCCGAGATATTCCCAAAAAACTCCCGCTGGCAACAGAAGCGTGTCAAGGTCTGAGCGCTACTGAATGGCCACGGCCAGTTCCAGGGATTAGCCCGAAGCCAATTAAAACCCGCTCGACTATTTTACATAAATTAAAATATATTTACGAAACTTACAAACTGAAGACTTAGGATTACAGAGAAAAAATATGTTGGTAAATGCTTAGAGATTGAATTGTGGAAGCGAATCCATTTTAGTGTACATGAATCTTTGGCGATGTCAACGGTCAGGGAGGCGACTCAACACCTGCTCCAGGATCTAGCAGTTGCTACTCCTGCTGCTTCGATAGCTTCTGTGGCCTTCTCCTCCCTCAGATTGGCAGATGCTCCTCCTCAGTTTAAGCTGCTCCTTTAGTTCCTACTCCCGCTGCCTCCGGTTCGCTCCCTCCTCAGTACCAGGAGTAGAACGGCTGGGGCGGCATCGTTGAATAGTTCATCTTGCTGGGCGAGGAGAAGGCAGCAGCAGCTGCGGCGGCCGCATTGAAGTTCTGCGGCATAAAGTGCGCCGACGAATTGGGCGGATAGTGTGGCGTTCCATATTGGGGATGCGGCGCATGGGGATGGGGATGCGCGCCATGTGGATGCCCGTGATGCGGATGATGCGGCGTGTGCGTGTGGGTGTGTGTGTGCGAGTGTGTGCTGTTGGTTGGATACGGAGCATATTGTGCGGCAGCTGTGTGCTGATACGGATGGAACATCTGGTGGGCAGCGGCAGCAGCAGCCGAGACAGATACGTCCAGAATATTGCTCGTCGAGCTGGTGGAGTTGAGTGAATCCTCCGGCGAGAGCGGCGCATTGGGCCGCATGCTCTGCATGTTGCCAGTGTTTGTCCAGCTGCTATAGAGCTGTGGCTGGATGCCATTGGCCACGCTGGCCACACTGGCCGCACTGGCCGCACTGGCCGCCAGCTCCGCAGCCTCCACTTTGAGGGCTGACGACAGCTCCTCGCTGCCTCCACTCACATTGGTCAGAGATGTGGGGGTGGGCTCATTGGGCATAACGACGGCGGCCGAGAGGCTGTTGGGCGTGGGCGGCAGCTGGCCAAAGGTGGAGGAGATGGACTCATTGGGACTTGGATTACGTGGCATTGTCTGATGGGGCTCAGATTCAGTGCTGTAAACGGAGCCCAGTTGGGATTCATAGTGCGTCTGCTCGACATTGTTGGTCGCCGAGCTGGGCATAATGTAGCTGGCCGTGTTATAGAATTGGTGATGGTGCGGCGGCGTATTGGCCGTGTTCAACGGTGACAAGGTGCTGCAGAGGGGCGAGAGGCTGGTGCTGTGGCTGCTGCTCGGGTTGGTGGGATTGTTGTAGAAATCGTATGAGTGCTGGTAGATGGAAGCAGCTGCCTCCATTGACGGCGGCATGCTCATCATGGTCAATGGGGATAGATGGGAGCTGTTGCTGCTGCTTGGCATAGATGCTGTGGGCGTGGCAGTGCTGTTGCTCGATCCGGTTACGGAGTTGTGCTGCTTGCGCAGGCGAGCGCGACGATTGCTGAACCACACCTGGATGCGAGCCTCGGTCAGATTGGTGCGCTGAGCCAGCTCCTCGCGCGTGAAGATGTCCGGGTATTGCGTGCGCTCAAAGGCGCGCTCCAGCTCCTCCAGCTGGGCAGCCGAGAAGGTGGTACGGCAGCGACGTTGTTTACGCTTCAATGCAATGCCCGGTTCGCTTTCACAGTCGGAGACCTCGTCGTCGGTGGCTTTGTTGTGCGTGGAGCTCGAGCCGCACTGATCGGAGCTGTTCGAGCTGGACGAGGGCTTGGCGGAGTCCGCCTCAGCAGGCGCATCGCGACCGCGCACCAAGCGAGATATAGCTGAAACGGACGGCACCATGCTACGATCGCAGAAGCCCTCTCGAATAAGCTTTTCGCGGATCTCCCAGGAGAACATGCCGGGATTGGTGCGTTTGTACTCTTCGATGCGACTCTCAATTTCGGGCGTGGCTATGCGTGGTTTGGAACCACCAATAACGCCCGGTCGAATGGAGCCCGTTTCCTGGTAGCGATTCAGAATCTTGGACACACAGCCATGGGAGACGCGTAACTGTCGAGAGATCACACACGGACGTATTCCCTCGCCGGCCATGTTGACGATCTTCAAGCGGATATTATTAGGCAACGGGCGGCCGTTGATGAACATTCCTCCCAGCTGATTGACACGTCCTTGGCCGCTATTCATTTCTGTAGGCCCAAAAAAAGACCGTAAATAGAAAGTTACTTAAGTGTTACATTTCCTATTTGCCAGGTAGAAAGAGGGCGAGGCAGAGGAACAGACTGAGAGAGAGAGAGAGAGAGAGAGAGAAAGATCGTGTGCCGATGGCACTTGATTTACGACACCTTCGTACAATTGACTTTCCCGGAAGAGGAAAAGCAATCAAACGAAGGTCGCGCGACTCGTTTAATGACTTACCTTGCATGGCTGAATATCCATTGAAGAAGGGTCTGTGCATGGCGGCGGCAAAAGCGGTCACAGTCATAGTTCACAGCCACAGAAAAAGTCGCGAAAAAGCTTTACCAGCTCGACTTTTAACGGCCACGAGGAATTCACAAGTCAGTTTTATTCAATTTCGATTTCACGCACTATTTGCGATAGTTTTCGCTTATATCGATAGCCACCAAATTATCTACTTGCTTACAAGTTTGAAGCAATGCGAATGCATTTACCAGAGACAACGGTAAATTTGTGTGTTTAATTTTTCTGATTTTTTGAGGTCACGACGTTTGGCGTTGATGCGTCTGACTCGTTGCGCAGTCGATGCCGTACTGACTTGAGCACACCAGCGTCGTGCAAGATCGTTGGCTTTCTGTGAAGACGTCGAAAGGCAGCGCGATAGCAGCGGCAGCCGCAGCTAAAGATGTCAGCCATCGAGGCAGGTAGTAACACGCGGACCAATCACATCGCACTAACCTATTGCCGACTCGCTTGCACTCGCGCCGATCATCGGCATTAATGTTATACAGCGCCGCCGTCTCGTCGCCAGAGGGCGTCATTAGCAGCGCCAAACAATGAACCAATGGCAGCGTTCCACTCCACAACAACCTTGACTTGAGAGCTGGGAAAAAACTGTGAAGGTGCCAAAGTTCGAGTCCTTGTTACCATTGACCCAGTTTGCGGACGCCAATTCGTAATAGAATTAGATATTAAATGCGTTAACAACGCATAATGCAATCGTGTATGCATTACACTCATTTAGAAGCGTAATATATCCTTTATAAAAAGATCATTGGTGGAAAATTAATTGTGTATATGTATAAATCGGAAAATACTTTTACACTTCACTTCCAGTTCTTTGCAGTTTCCTGAGTCAACTGCACTTCTGTGAAACGTGTTAATTAAAGAACAATAGAATAAATGGGGACTGTGAAGTGCTAAAAGTGAAAAGATTGTGGGGACACAATATTGTATATCTGACGGAAATTCTTTTTTTTTTATATATATATATAATTGGAGTAAACATTACTTTTTACCCAATACAAATTTTTAAAAATTCAAACGTAGAATTGTTGTTTCAATATTAAATTAATGGAAAGCATAACTTTTTTATTCATATTTAAAAAGCACAGTAAAAAAATAACCAAAACTAAAAAAAGTCATACATTTGTAAAGAGTACAATATTCATATTTATATATGTAGAATTTTCTGTCAAACTATGTAATAGAGAAGTTCAAGCTTAAGTTTTCTTGACTTCAATATAATCTATAATATCGGTATAATAGGTTATTCGATCCACCTGAAAGGCATATAAAGGCAGTCATAATATAATGAATATGGAAATGAATTGTATTTAGTACATATTATAGAGACTCGATACCCTTTTCACACGTAAATTATATAAACTTTAATGCAGATGTTGACTTATAATATAATAATATATAAACAATATATGTAAAACAATTTAGTCAAAATTATGGATATCGAACAACTCTCTAGAGAGTGTTATTAAAAATTCGACAAATTACAAATCATATGTACATAATTTATGTAACGTATAATAAGTAAATTTATTATATATGTATATGTATATTTCTTAACATAGTTATGTTAATGCCTAACCGCACTTAAGATGCAGTCCTTTCATACCGTTCCATATCCTTGTCACGCTCTATCGTAACGCTGTCTGCTGCCTCTCGTTGGCTCGGAACCACGTTTTAGGTAACCCCAAGGCGCGTGAATTTGATTAATTATGAAATTTCATGCAAGGCCCAAAGAAAAACCCAACATAGAAATGAAAACAATGAAAGCCAATGGCAAGCGCTGAGCCACGAAGGAAAGAGTGAGAGAGGAGCATAAAGTGAGAGAGGCAGCGAGAGATGTGAGCGCCAAGAGCTGAAATTAATGAAGGCAAACGCCAGCGGTTAAATTGCTATAATACTGCCATATCTATGATAGAAGATCGTGTGACGAATCCTGGCACATCCTGCGCCGAAGGACAAACGGAGGCCGCAAAGGCAACAATGCCGGGGTTTCTACTGCTCGGTACGGCTGCCCGTTGGCATTTTGGTTAAGCAAACCCAACGGGAGTACCAACTGAAACATTTTCGCCTGGCAGGATAGCACCAGATCGGCCTTGACAGTCAATTGACCTTGGCTCCTGGACTCCTGGTCCAGGAGTGCAGCAGAGGAGGTGGGAGACGTGCGAGATAAGCTCAGAGCGTTAATCGCAGAGCCCAATTGGGCAAGTGTTGAGGCCGTGTTGTACCTCGTTGATTTCTCAATTTGGGCCAACAATGAGCGCTGAAAAGGCAACTCATATAACGCTAATTTCGCGCTATCAACGCATCAAATGACAAACATCACAGTTCCCATTCCCTATGGCACAACAACAAGAGCAACAACGACAGCAACAACAACAACGGATAGGGAACGAAAGGGAACAGTAGGAGGCAGCATCGTGCCATAAACATCGCAGCATTTCCACGTAAAGCCTGGCTGCAAAATGCCAATCGCCGTCCGTATGAATAAAGAGTGCTAAAAGACTTTTTATGATGCCCACCTACGGCGCTATGAATGAATATCATCTTCAAGTTTCGCCAGCCGTACCAGCTACGCCTACCTGCTGTCCCGCCCGTAGCATCGAACTGAGCTCGAAGCGATACGGCGCGCGCGTCCTTTCAAGGAATGAACGAATGGTACTTTAATCGAAGGCGTCGGATTTACTTCAGAGGAGAATGGGGATATATTGGGGTAATGTAAGGCCACAAACTATATATGAAAGGAATTTTTCGAGGACATTTTATGGGAGTGAATAATAATGTGAAAGAAACGAGGGCAAGATTAACAAATGATACTAAATTGTTCGCAAATTGCTCGTGAAGAACGAAGTGAAATGTTGTGTAATCGAGAATGCAGAAATTTATTGTACAGAATCATTTCGATTCACATAAAGGAGTGCTTATGGAAATGACGTAAGAAATTATTGGCCAAGACATCTAATTAAAATAAGAAAATGCAACGAAAATTCTTTTTACAATTCGCTTGACTACCGTTATAGCGACCCATATCGCATAACAGCAGACACACCCCTCTTTGCTGGTTTTCAACGCCCATGCACACCTGGTTGTGGTCCAGTTATAATTAAGTTAGTTGTGCCCGCTCCACGCTTGGTTAACACAAAAAATTCACAAAACAACATACAACAATCACTGTAAAATATTTTGCGCTCTCTATCTCTCTCTTTTCCTCCCTCTCTCTCTTTCTCACTTGATCTCTCTTTCTCATTCTATCTCTCTCTTTGTTGGCCAATCGATTCGCTTTGGCCAAACGTAATGCGGCCTCTTGTCACAGACGCTGTTTAACGGCCTTGATTGTTTGTCCAGCTTCCATGACTCGGCCTATTTACCAGCTCCTAATGTCTTTATCAGTAGTGTCTCGTCTTCCTCTTCATCAAATTTCCATATAACGCACACCAAACTGAGTTGTTGGAAAGTAAAGACACATGGGGGGTCGGCGAGGGCGAGTGAAATAGATAGACAGACAGTTCGGGTAGGATATGTGTGAAATTAAAGGATAGATAGAGTCTCTTATACAACCAGTATTTCAATTTGCCATAGAATATTCTTTCAAAATACCAGGATTGTTACAAATGATAAAAAATACTTTAAATATTCAAAAATTAGAAAAGTCATCGATATATTTTTCAAATATTAAAAACTATTATAAACTTGACGAATTATTATTAAAATATAAAAAATGAAATTGATGAAAAATATAAAAAGTGACTAATTTAAAATATATCAAAATTATGCAACAAAAATTTTACAACTAATTTGAATTCAAAACCATCATTTTATTTTGTAAATATTTATTTGTTGATTTATAATTTAAAATTTAAACATGAGTTGAAATAAAATATTATAAACTAAAATGTTTTCCCGCTCAGCCGAAGGGAAACTCTATAGAGTTCCAAATCCTAGATCTGGGTGTGAGCAGTGCAACCTTCTGCGCTCGACAAGGCGTAGATTGACTTCAGCTCTAATCCGCATTTATTTTTGGTAAATACGAGTGCGAAATGTGCAAAAGCAGTTGCTGCCCCCCTCGGACTAAGCCCACCCAAGGAAGTTTTCAGGACAGACAGGCATAGAGAGATAGGTGAAGAGAGACGGAGAGCGGAGCCGGGATCATAAAACAAAAATCCGCGCTAAAGCATGCAAACAAATAGAAAAGATTAAAGTTAAGTCGGACAGCTTAAGAGTTTTTGACTTTTTCAAATATTTGTGAAAAGTTTGCAACAAATTTTGTTGAACGCGATTAAAGCGGCTAATCGTAGAGAAGTCTGTCGTTTTATTGATCAACATTTGTAAACGATTTGCCATGGGCTAGCCGAAGTCTGGTCCGGCCTGAGCTGATCCATCCTTCTGCTGGATGGCGTCTCAGGTAGCTGCGGATGCGGCTTAACGCAAATAACGCCCATCGGGCAAGGGGCTTTTCCGATCAGCAGCCAAGGCGAATGCGATTAACCCTTTGCGTTGATCTTGGCTAATTGTAGGCATTAGTTGTTTATGGGTCACGAGCTGCGCTTCCACAGAATTTCATTGTCTCCGAAATTAGCATAGTTTGCGATTTCAATTGAAAGGGCAGCGTGGCCCGGTGTGGTTGCTGCCCACCCAAAAAGAGAAATACAATGCGAAATGCATAATCCAATGGTTGGCCGCAGAAACGCAAGCGAACCGCAAGGGAATCACTCTAACCACATTTCGACACGGCCAAGCCAGACACTTAAGCAGAGCAGAGAAGAGTCGACCTGCTGTCTGCTGTGTTGGCAAAAAAAAAAAAAACAACAACAACACAAACAAAAGTTGCCAAAGTATGTGTGAAGTGGGGCTGCGCATTGTCCAAGTACACCCACTTTTACGAAAGTCATTAGGCTGAGCCAAGCGCAACGAGTGGCAACTGCTAAACGCTGTCGGCACGATCAGAGGCCAACAAATTGATCATTAAACAGAAGGCGCAAGGTAGGCGCAAGAAACAACAACAGCAACAACAATGGCGAGAAGAAGACAAGACTCACATTGGACTGAAATCAAACATCTGGAGGCAACGCTCCCGTCGGGCAGGGAGCATCATCAAACATGCTGCAGGGCCAAATGGAAAAACTCGAGGCTCACGAAGAAAGTGCGACAAACGAAACAAAACGAAACCAAAACACAAAACAAAAAAACAAGATTAATTTGTTTTCCTGAGTGGTTACAACCTGTTGCCCAGCTCATCAGATCGTCAGATCGGCTGATCGAACAGAGCTATTCACCATCAGCTATTGAAATTATGTTTGAGCTCCGGCGAAGGGGAGCTCACAAAAGTAGGTGGCGTTTTTCTCACATCCACAATCTATGCCGGCGTTTTGCCATTCGCCACGCTTTGTATAGGATATATGCGAATTTAAATAAAATTATTCAATATCTTCATTAATCAAAGCAATGCCTGCTTTCTGAAGATGCGCCGCAACCGAAAAATCAAATGAAATTGATACTCAATTAGCGATGTGCCTTACAAACGCACATTAACGATGTATTAGATTAAAAGTCCTGCATATCGATAATCGATTTGCATTGAAGTGCTTTGCCAACTATGCTCAACCACTATGGCTCAACTATGTTAGCTTACAGCGCACAGTTAAGCGAACCTGCAAGTTCGACAATGTTAGCACTGCACTGAAACAAGTTTGTCATGTTACGTTATGTTGAGTTACGTTAGACTCGCTTAAAAACGTAAGGCTCCACAATTGCGGCAGTAAAATTTGGTTTACTGTTATGCAAATAAGAAATATTCAAATAACTCTTTACTGTAACATGCAATATGCTATGTTTAAATTTGTTTTTCATTATTCACAACAATTGTTAAAAGAAAAAAACCAATTTATCGTCTGACAAGAATGAAGCCCACGCCAGCCCAGCCCAGCTCGATGCGTATGTAAAAAAGTAACCATGGCGAATTGAGAGGCTGCAACGCGCACACAAACACACTTAATTTCCGCTTAATCACTCAGAACATTTTGACGACGACCCACATTAAATGTGGTATATGGCAGATGCTGGCTGGAATTGGCCAACCCTCTGGCATCCAAAGATCAACTCGAAGACAGACAGACAGACAGACACAAGGGCTCATTTGCATTGGGCGTTAAATGCTTTGATGGGCAGCGACAGAGACGGAGACAACGACGACTACGGCTGTTGGGGCGTAAAAACTCACGGGCGTTGCATCATTGCCAAAAGACGGGGGATGGTCTTTTGGGGAGCTAGACAGTTGCCGTATATCAAAAGAAAACTGTGTCAACATTTTCCAGGAATTATTTCCAAGTGCTGTAATCGCAATTGCCACGGAGAAGCAAGTGCTGTAGATACAGATGGAAAGAAAAAGAGAGGCAGAGGGTAGATCCTGCACACGCGACATATTCGACTGAATAGGTGGGCTTATAAAACCACAATCATTGAACGATCACCGATCTATTATGGCGTGATCTATAGTGCTAAAAGCCATAAAAGTTCACTGAACGCTTCCCTGGAAAGATGTGCAAAGGACGAAATGTCGAAAAGTTGCCAACAGAACACAAAAATCGTTGAGGCAATCAGTGACCGTGAAATCGCAGCCCGAATGATATATGGGCAGGCTACGAGAAAAACTTTCCCAAAAAAAGGAACTACAACCCAACGAGCAGGAAACGAAGTGAAACGCCAGCATATTTTATGGCGGGTAGAGATGATCTTCCTTTAGGTGATGCACATGGTTCCGTGTTCTCTGCCCTCGAGTTCCTCAGAAAAATTTGCGTGTGCTATGGCTCAGGTAACTGAACATTTCGCCTCTATAGCCACTACTCTGCCACGATAATAACTAAATAAACAGTTTTTGTCCTTAAAAATTGTGTCAAAAAAGAGCGAGCTCTACTTTTTGGACGGTTTATTGTTATAGCAAAAAGGGTTTTTACGCTGGTCGACTTTTGTTTTGACTTCTTGACTTGAAACTTTGAAGTTCCATGAAAAAATATTGGTTTGATCTCTTTGAATTGTTGTAGCAGAAGAGACAAAGTAGGGAAAGCGTTTTCTTGCGCTGTCTTTGTCTCTCTCTCTCTCTCTCTCTCTCTGTCTCTCTCTCTTCTCTGTCTCTGTCTTTCTCTGGTATAGTTCGCTCCCACTCAAAAGTAAATCATATTCGAGAGTGAGCTACTAATTTATGCATAATGTTCAGGTAGACTCCGCCCCTACCTTTGTCTCTTCAATGGAATAACGCACCCTTAAAGACAACGCCCCAAACAAAAATTTACCACAAAAACTCGGCGTAGCGAATGAGAAATCGAAATTCGTTTTGCTCTTTGGTAAATGGTATGCGGTTAAAACAGAAATACGGCCAACCATATGAGAATGGCTATGAACAAACATGGCAGGGTTCCTCATCTCTTTGACCTTGGACACTGCGTTGAGACTCCCTACCGAAAGGCCCATATGTAGGAGTAGTACGAGCCATATCGTTCTGGTTTCCGAATTTGTTTCGCATCTCCGTGCTGCCCCTCACAGTTACGCCGAGCCGTATGTGCGGTTTAAGTTCTGGTCGCAGTTTTGGTCGCCGATCTTCATGTTCGCACAGCAAGGTGCATGACCTTAGTTTCGCTGTGCTTGTTTGTTGTCTTTCGCAGAACGACTGCAAATATTTTGGGTGATTATTTTAGATAATCTTTGTCTAATGTCCTTGGTTTATTTTAATTGCAGCACTACAGCCTATAGATTATGAACTTTGTAGATGATTGATTTGAATGAAAACAAAGAATGTAGTGAATAAACTTAACCTTTGGTAGATTACTTTTGCTTACAAAGCTATTTATAGATATATTAAAATTAGCTATATCTATTTACAAATAAATATATGACGCAATTTAGATATATTTTATGTTTTGACATAGTGTGCCATGTTTATTTAAACAAAAACGTTCTAGCTCCCAGTTTTTAAATGAATTATATTGACTTGGTGTACAATTTCTGCAAATAAGTCTGTTCAAAAGCCTAGCTTAAATTTAAATTTCGATTATTGGTCGAAACGATACGGCGATATTAAGTCGCAGATTGTTCAAATTGATTGACATAAATATCGATACTCAGTCTAGAAACGATTCCTCTTTTTAATAGTTATTTCCTTATCCGTTCGTCAATTTGAGTTTTGATAAATTAAGGTAAAAGTAAATTTGTTAAACCAATATTAATTGCCTCAGAGCTATTTTTAATTTAGAAGTAAGTAAAATACAATATATGGGATTGGAAAGAGAACATTAAATCAAATATATCGATATTTTATGCAAGGTTGACGCGATTTGCGGCCCACACACGTTACTCTTCATGCGCCTCACGCAACTCACACGTACACACATACTCACACCTTGTGTCAAGCCAAAACAAGTGTTACATCGTTTTTCTCATAATTAAATCATATATATCAAACAAATTAAATAAAATGTCCGATCAAAAACCAAACAATGATGGTGATGAGCTAAATGATTTGCTAGACAGTAAGTAGACATGATACCCAGAGTGCATCTGGCTAACTTATATAACGAGATTCTATTACACATTACAGATGCACTGCAAGACTTTGACAAAAGCAAAAGTGGAGCCAAGCCGGAAAAGACGGCGGGCACGACAGATGGGACAGGGAATGCTACTAGCGAAGCCAACGAAGATCCCGATGCGTTTTTCATGTGAGTTGTTCGAATTGGTTTGTCTTTGTTATCGAATCCATTTGGACTTTGGAGTTGCAGCGAACAGGCGAAAATCTTGGCGGATCGAATGAACACACTTTTCGGAGGTCCGGACACGCCCAGTGGCGATATTCCACCAATGCCACAGGATCCAGAGCAAATAATGGCCGGCTTCAAGAAAATGGCAGAAGCTGCCGCCCTCACGCTGAGTGGGGAGAATACTGCCAACGACGACGAGGTGTCCAAGTATTCCGATAGCATTTCCCAAGCTCTCAAAGTACGTAGCCTAACAAGAATGATCTCGAATCATTCAATAATCAATCCATTGTGTCTTTTGAAAGGGTCTTCAAGAGGGCACAGAAAATCTAGCTGCACCCGCGTCCGAGAATGACATTGCCAGCATGTTTGGATCCTTGAATCTAGATGTAAAGTGATGTGAAACTACTTCTATTATCTAATAACTTATATTCAATATATCTTAGGGCGGCGAAAGTGATAGTAATAGTTTCCTGCCTTTTATGGAGGGCATGATGCAGAGCTTGCTCTCTGCTGAGATCCTACTGCCTAGCATTAAGGAGCTCCTGGAGAAGTATCCCAAGTATTTGGAGGAAAATGACGCCAAGCTCTCAGCGGAGGATAAAGAAAGGTGATTCATCGTTTAGACTTCGCCCAACTGTTGCCAACTACGTGACTTGCATGCCTATTAGCTTAATTATTTATACACTAAGAGCTCTGTAAAGCAAAGCTAGACATGAGGGAAAGCTGTCTATAAGCTGAGACTTTTAGATATGCATATGAGAAGTTAGCAATATTATAGAACTATAACTTTGCCATTAGTATATGTAAAGATAGAAGTAAATCTAACTGAGGCAGGTGAATATGATGTCAGGAAGCCCGTTTAGGATGATTAACATGGAATTAAGAAAGTAATGTAGAGCTGTCATGTGAAGCTATACATGTTTTGTACAAGAATGAATGGATGTTGTGTAAAGAAAATGTAGAAGTGGGGCAAAAGCTATTTACATGTTTTATAGCAGGAACTAATATTAAGAAAGCAACTTGGAATCTTTATTGTATTGCTTACTTAATGTGCCCAATCCCGTTTTCAAATTGTTTTGTAGAGCTTGCACTGGGTGTCTCGTTACATTTTCATGCTTATATTAAGCGCTGTCTTATTCCTCCACAGGTACCAAAAGCAGATGGAGCTGTACAAAGTGATTGAGGGCCATTTGCAGAGCGAAAAGCCCGATGATACACCCTCCGTCAAACGCGAGAAATTCCGGGTGGTGCTGGATGATATGCGCAAGCTGCAGGATTATGGACAACCTCCAGCAGAGATATTGGCCGAGACTGGTGGAGATTTGCCATTGATTGATCCGACAGTAGCTGGCGGTATACCAAACCCCCAATGCCCGACAATGTAAATGTTTGTCTGGGTCACCTCGGGCTTTTCTCTTTTTTGGTGTTGTGTCGTTCCTCGTGGAGTGCCAAGTTGTTGAATGTTGCACATTTAGCATTAGGACAGCAGTTATTTTATACATTTAAACGACATCACGTGATGGTTATTATATCTTTTGTTTATGGTTTTACACATATTGTTTTGCCTTAAATTGTATTTATGTTCTCTACGAAATACATAATATTCAAATATTTAAAAGAAATGAAAAGAAATTTATTTCTAAATTAAAGGAAGAAGCGACGTCTGGACTCCATGGCATGTCGCTTGTTGCTTATGATCCAGGTGTAGTCGCCCGTTTTGCTGTCGAATGTACCTTCCTGCAGGGAGCGCAGCTTGAGTGTAAAGCGTGGCCCCAATTCCCGCAGCTTCACCCTCTTGCCCTCCTTGGAGAACTCGTAGCGATGATGACGAAAGAATATATAATCTCGCTGATTGTGAAATGTGACAGCACGCCTGCCCCGGAACTCGGGATCGTGGTGAAAGAGCGCGCCCAGCATACGACCCACCGTTAGACCCAAGCGAGTCGTAAAGTTGTTCAATATTACCTCTGGTCGATGCTTTGTGATCTCCTTGTGGTTCCGCTTGATATCTGAAGTCAACTTCACGTTCGATAGCTTGAAATGCGCAGTCGGCCCGTTGGGCAGGTGAATGACCAGCAATCCATTAGGTTTGCGTCTATCCTCGTTGACAATAACAACATCCGTGAACTGTTCCCGCTCGGCGCTCTTGCAGATCTTCTTCACCGAAGCCTTGTTGCGTATCTTCACCAGAGCATTCGGGAATATACGCGACAATTCGAGGCCGAATTTACGCGTCTTTGTTACTGGATTGTCGGCAAATGTGATTAGCACTTTGGGCTCATAGATGCGCTCGAAATAGGTACTAAAATCGTCTAGCTCCAGCTCTTTACGCAGCTCCTCATGGTCAGAATCGTTGAGATTGCTCACCTCAGTTTGATCCTTCTCACGCAGACTTTCAATGGTGTGACCCGGATTGGCTGGCACTCCTGCCTTGCGACGTGCTCGTCGCTCCTGCATCTTTTTCTTATGTTTTTCCTTCTTCATCTTACGGAAGAGCGCCATGCGCTGTTCTTTGTTTTTCATTAAACTAAGAGGATTAAGCACTGGGAGGCGTGCCTTCTTTTTATCATCACCGTCACCGTCCTCATCATCATCATCATCGTCGTCATCGTCATCATCATCCTCATTATTATCATCATCACCGTCATCATCGCCAAAGCCTACCTCGTCCTCGTTCTTCTCATTTTCCTTTTGTTCCTTCTTTTTCGCTGACTTTTGGTCCATTTCTATGTCGCTGTCATCGCTGCTATCAGTGACTGGCCCTTGAGACTGGTCTTCCTCGAGTTCTTCTTCTTCAAAACTGGAGTCACTATCTGAATCCTGTTCCACGGGCTTTGGTTGTGGTTTTCTTTTTATTTTACCCATGATTTTTCAATTAATATCAAGCTATTTGTTAGAACTACGGACAAGCCGCACGTGTTGACTTTCTGCTTCTTAGCAGTAATGCCATTCGCACAAGCAAGCTCGTGGTGAATGACAAAACAGCTGAAAATTTATAAAATATATATGAATGAAAGAAATTAATAAATTTTGAGTATTGAGACCATTCTGCGGGTTGAATAATGAAGGAATATGCCTTCAATAATAAATAAGGGTTTTCTTTAATGTAATCAACCTGTGCGAAAACAACAACCAATAGGTTATTATTGTGAATGACAAACAGATGTTTGAAAGCATGCAGTTAAAACGTAAACAAATGAGTGAAGATGGAATATCGTGTATTGGAACTCTTTAGTGGCATTGGTGGCATGCATTATGCTTTTAAGTGTATGTAAATATTTATAATAACAATAGTGATGCATATTCATATTGTCAGCCATTTAATTTGCAGATGCACAACTATCCGGCGAAGTTGTTGCCGCTATGGATGTGAACACAGTCGCCAATGCGGTTTATGCGCATAACTATGGAGCGACAAGTGTAAAGACGAGGAATATTCAGAGTTTAGCTGCGAAGGAGATCAAAAAACTGAATGCCAACATGCTGTTGATGTCGCCGCCCTGTCAACCGCACACGCGCCAAGGCTTACAGCGTGACGTGGAGGACAAGCGATCTTGTGCACTCTCCCACCTTTGTTTGTTGATTCCACAGTGCGACACGCTTGAATATGTGCTAATGGAGAACGTGAAGGGATTTGAGGTATCTCAAGCTCGACAGCAATTTATTGAAGCTCTAGATAAGGCTGGCTTCCACTGGCGCGAGCTCATTCTAACACCCACGCAGTTCAATGTGCCTAATACTCGATATCGATATTATTGCATAGCACGGAAAGGCAAAGATTTCAATTTCGACAATAAGAAAATATGGGAACATATGCCAGGTACTAAACCTGATCCAGATCAGCAGTCAATGTGCAAAATATCAACATTTCTTGAGCCAGACGTTCCTGATGACTTCCTTGTGCCAGATGACGTGCTGTCCAAAAGAGTACTGGTCATGGACATCATTCACCCATCTCAGAGTCGATCTATGTGCTTTACCAAGGGCTACACTCACTACACAGAAGGTACTGGCTCGGTGTTTACACCTCTTTCGGAAACACAATCCCACAGTATATTCGAAGCAGTTAAGCAAATTGACATGGATCCCAACAGCAAAGATTCCGAAGAAGCGCAAAAGCAAAAACTTGAACTTTTACGTCAAGTAAAACTGCGGTACTTTACACCCCGGGAAGTGGCGCGGCTTATGAGTTTTCCCGAAGAATTTGAATTCCCTGCTGAGACAAGGAATCGACAAAAGTATCGATTGCTGGGAAATAGTATAAATGTTTGTGTTGTAGGTGAATTGCTGAAGTTGCTGACTACATAACAAAATACAAATTGTAATTGAATTAAGATAATACTAAATTGGTTTAATATTTTTCAATTTAAAAAAGAAACGGACAAATTGCATCGATAAAAAAATTTAATTCTAGGCATCTAGGTAGCCCTGGTTGAAAACTATCATACCTATCGGGCCTATCGATTCCGTTTATCCATAATAACCAATTAATCACTAAACCACAGACTGGCGCAAATAAAACCATAATTTTAGTTAATAAAACTTTATAGGGCAAAATCACTCAAAATGATACCGAAAAAGATGCCGGTAAAGGATGCGCACATAGTAAAAATAGCTGTGGAACGCGAGAATCATATAGCGCAGCTTATAAATCTGGACCAAAGGCATCCCCTTGCAAGTATGTATACAATGATTGCAAATATAAAAAACCATAAATAAAGTTTCTTATTGACGAGTCATGACACCCGGGCGTAAGCTTGTAAGCAATTGAAATGTATTGCACTTTAGCTTTGAGTTTGCCAGGTTAAAGAAAAAATCCAGCGCCAACGCCCTTTGTGTTGCAGTTTGTGATGTCAGCGTGAGGTCTCATTAAAGTGCACGGAAGCGGACAGGAAGTGCAGATGGTAGTTTGATGATAGTGATGAGTGTGTATGGGGGTGTTTAAACCCTGCTTATGGTTGATCAGTCATATAGTCAATGCGATAGACATACATTTAGACTAGATATCGATACGCTATAGAAAAGACATAGGAACACTTTAAGCTTAAATTTTTAAAATAACTACAATTGGATTGTAATATATAATTACACACGCGTAACTTCATCATTTAACATCAACATTTTCACAGGTAAAATCCAGGAAATATGCAGCAGCTGGGGCATAAGCGATCATCAGAACTATGCGCTGCAGTTCTGCGAAACAAACAATATGAAATATGTAACGGAAAAGAATCGTAATGAGATTAAAAACGGCTCAGTGCTGCGACTGCAGTACTCACCCTCTAAAACGGCCAGCGATACCTTGGAAACTTTAATAAATGGCGTCCCATTGGACAAAGCACAACGTCTTAAGGAGCTCTCATCGCTCAGTATGGATCACACGTTCGCGCTGGAGTTTATCAAGGAAAAAGGCTTGGATATACTCATTAAAATGATCGAAGATGTGAATCAAAAGGATGAGGATATACTGAAGTACAGTTTGGCCAGCTTTGTGGAGCTAATGGAGCATGGCACCGTATCCTGGGAGGTGCCCGAGAGCAGTTTTGTGGCACGAAACATTGAAATTGTACGCAACTTTCAAAAATATCCCCCTAAATGCGGCGAGAGTGCGCTCTCCAATCTGGAGAATATTGTCCAAAGCAGCAGTAAATATGTGCTAGTTGCCGAAGAAATCAAGCTCCAGGATATACTGCTCCTGCTGCAAGAGGCCAACTCCCCGGTAATGCGACAAAATGCCATTGCACTGCTCAACGCGCTGTTCATGAAGGCCGATGAGTCACGCAAGCGTACCATCGCCCATACGATAAGTGCGAAACCCTATAGACTAGCCCTGATTGGCAATGGGTTGAGCACGGAGATGACCCACCAGCTGTATGTGCTGCAAACCCTGACGCTGGGCCTCTTGGAGAAGCGTATGAGAATGAAAATGAATGCCCAAGATCAGGATGCACACGAGAAGATCAAGGAGCTCCGTCGCATTGCGTTCGATGACTACGCGGGCTCACTTAATCTGAATGATGATCACATTCGGCGTGGTGGCAGCGGCGGCACTGGTTCAGGATCGGGTGCTGGCAATGTCAACTTTTCGCAGTACTATAAGAAACTTGGCTTCAAGTGCGACATCAATCCAGCACAGGACTTTATCGAAACGCCACCGGGTAGCTATATTAATATATATTTAATCTCTAATTAAAGAAATGTTAATAATATATAGATTCTTGTTCCTAGGTATACTCGCTCTGGATTGCATGGTGTATTTTGCTCGGAACTATACGCAGCAGTACACGAAGATTGTGCATGAGAATTCCTGCCGTGCGGATGAGCATGAGTGTCCGTTCGGTCGCACCTCCATCGAACTGGTGAAGGTGTTGTGCCACATTTTGCGAATTGGCGAGCCACCCGCCGATCAGTCGGGTGACTTTCAGCCCATGTTCTTCACTCACGATCAGCCGTTCGAGGAGTTCTTTTGCATTTGTGTCATCACATTGAATCGCACGTGGAAGGATATGCGTGCCACCGCCGAAGACTTTCAAAAGGTGTTCAGTGTTGTACGCGAACAAATTCAACGCACTCTAAAGCAGCGCCCCGAGAATCTAGAGGACTTTCGCAGCAAGATTGCCTTGCTAACGTATCAGGCGATCACGACATTGCGTCAACAGGAGCGCACCTCGAAGGAGGAATGCGATTCGACAGCATCGGCCATTGTGAAGCTAAAGGAGAAAATCTCACCACAAATTGTGGAGCTCATCAAGCAGCAGCGTCTCTCATTTCTAGTAGAAGGTTTGTGCTTAGATTTGCTATTACTTGATTTGTTGCACTGATATATATTTTTTTAACCAGGCACACGTTTCTCCAAGTATGTGCGCGGCACACGTAGCAAGGATAAGTTCTGGTACGCTCGCCTTTCGCCCAATCACAAGGTCATTCATTATGGCGACTGCGATGAGAAGAACATACCGACCTTGGAAGAACTGCCCAAAAAGTTGCCCATCATTGATATTAAGCAGCTGCTGGAAGGCAAAGAGTGCCCGCACATGAAGGAGGCGCGCACACGCAAATCGCCCGTAAATTTTGCATTTTCCATAACATTTGAGAGCATGGATCATTCCACTTTGGATTTTGTGGCGCCCGACGAGACCATATTCAATTATTGGACTGATGGCATCAACGCTCTCCTCGGCCAGGAGATGACAAGCAAGCAGAAGAAAGAAGATTTTGACACGCTCCTATCCATGGAGATTAAACTGCGTTTGCTCGATACCGAAGGCGTGGACATTAGCAAGGACCCGCCGCCCATACCCGAAGATCCCGAGAACTATGACTTTTGTTTTGAAAGCTAAATTAACTCAGTATTTCGTTTATTTTGATTTAAATTTATTGCAATAATCGATCGTTCCAAATTCCTCAACATACATGCCAAAGTGTACCCATTATATAGAGTAGATCCATACTCTCCGATCTGAATTAGTATTAACAGTGCAATTTCCAAAAAAAAAAAACAACAAATGAACAAACAAACAAAAACAAATGGAACGCTTAGCCATTTAGTAAACATCATTTACAATACATATTTTATGTAATTATATTAAGTATATTAATATTAATATTAATAGAGATTCATATAAATACAACGTTTTATACATTAACCATTTTGTACAAAATGAAGAAGCAAATTGTAACAAGAGAAGCGTATTCTTATTTGTGATAGCATATCTAACTGGATCTAGAAGATCCTTGCAGAATAATTGATTATTGATAATTGGATAATTGTCATGAATTTCATCTTGTTATCCTTTTGCAAGGACGCAGAACATGTTATAGATCTATCCTTATCTATAATGGTATCTTATCAACATGTCAATAGTTTCTAACTAAATCGACGTAGAACATGTTCTGTAGAGATATCCTTAGAGTAAGATATATGGAATATTCTTATATTGAAATTATTAATTGGATAAAATACTTGGATTGTTGCTAAAAGTCGAGTAAGCCGTAAAGCCAAAGCCGAAGCTTGTGGAGCAAAATCAAAGCACAGTCGTCGCCTAGGAGCGGCGACTGTCGCTATTATCCACGCACGGGCACCTTGCGCCGGCGAGCATGAGCGCGCTCCTAGCTTCTTAATCAAATATTATCCTCCAACAGCAGATCGGTGTCATCGCCTCTATCCGGCAGGCAGACAAAGAACTCCAACAGATTCAGGACGGGACCACGAGAGAATGGATTCTGGTAGCGACCACGCTTATCCCGCAAATATGGATAGCGCTTGTAGTTGAACATCTCGTTCGTCGTGAGATTCATGCACGCGTGAAGGATCTATCAAGAGAATGAAACTATATTAATCAGGATTGCAGGTAGTAAATAACGTTGCCTTACAGATGTACAGGTGAGTATCCAGCCAAGACCGCAGAAGACGATGGCTTCGATTAGACCCAGCACATACAGCATTGTGAATCCCTCGATCATTACGCAGTAGCAGGCAAAGTAAATGGTAAACGAGCAATTGACGGCGACGGAGAGCACGAACAGAAAGAACCACATGCGATTGCGCAGTCCCACACAGTTGTAGATGAAGGGACAATGATGATCGAAGTAGGATACACAGCGATTGCAGACCCGACAGTGCTTGGCACGCAGTGGACGTAGGCATCGACAGCTATGACACAGCCGGGTGAGCATCACGTTGCGCTTCTTTAGCTTATCAAAGTAGGGTATCTGCTTGATAGCCCGATAGTAGGCATCAGAGCTGAGCGGTATATATCCCGGATCCCTGCGATTCGCAATCGCCCAGCTGACCCACATGACTACGTTCCAGTAGATGAAGCAATAATGCGAACGTCTCAATATATTCCATGTAATAGGTATGGCCCTTATCATATACATTGGATAGCCCCAAAGCAGCACCGAAAAGAGAAAGAGAAAGAGAGGTCCTTTGGAATCACCGGCCCCACCAAAGAGCCAGCCCCAACTCTCCGACACAGAGGGAATCCAGCGTGACTTCTTTTTTACCTCGCCGTAGAGCAGCCGCACCACATCCTGATGCTGATGAGCTTGAGCTAGCATAATGGGTGTCTTACCGTTCTTATCCCTCGGCTCCAGCTCTAGCTGCGACTTCTCACACAGCAGACGCACGCAATTGATATTCCCGGAGAGGCAGGCTAAGTGCAGCGGTGTTGAGCCAAAGTTATCTGTCTTCTGCAGCTCCACACCGGAATACATGAGCAAGCGCATCAGATCCCCATGACCCTTATATGCAGCCCAATGCAATGCCGTATCTCCATTGATATCCGTTAGATTGTTTAGAGCACCCATTCCCAACAGATAGGCCGCTGTTGCAGTGCGTCCGTACATGCAAGCTAGATGAAGAGGTGTCAATCCTTTGAAATCCGCCGCATTTACTGCAACGCCCGCCTGCAGTAGCACTTGCACCACCGAGGCGTGACCCTTGCGGCAGGCCCAGTGTATGGGGCGGGGTCCCTGGGTACCCAAACAGGGCAAATCGATTGGAGCCGTTCGTTCAATCAGATACCTCATCAGTTGCACATTTCCGTTGAGCGCAATCCAATGGGCAGGCGTATAGCCATGTCGATCCCGGGCCGAGAGGCATTCCATGCCAAACTTCTCCACCAGATTCTCCACTTCACTCACTTCACCATTCTTGATGATATCGAAAATATCATCCAGATTTACCGTAGCACCATCCAAGCCCTCAAAGAGCATCATATTGCTGTCGTGCTCGCTACCATCCGTGTTGTTAGCTGCTCCATTAGCGCCTGGTGGCGAGTGGGCTCGATGATCAATGTCGATGTCAATGTCTGCATGAGCATGACCGTCTTCCTCCATGTTGCATGACGAGGAGGCCGTCAGGGGCAGCGCCCATACACTGCGCGCTGCCCCCGGGCTGGGGTGTACCTTGCTGGAGGCCACGTTGTAGAAATCGAATTCTACGCCAAGACGTTCCGCTGTGCCACCCGATAGCGGTGGTTGGTGGTGCAACGGGTTTTCCAGTAGATGTGCAATTTTGTTGGCTTTGTAAGCGACTGTCGCACGGATAAAATTCTTTTACGCAAAAATAAACACCAGGACAGAAATTATGTCAGCAGTTTAAAAATCAATATTAACTGCGAATGTAGGACATTCGAATTCGAATTGGCGCCAATTATAAAACAGCTGTGAATTTCGATAACACAACAGTGGTTCGATTACAAAGTTAGGCTACCCTCTCTATTTGAAGTCAAACCGTTCTGCGATTTAAATTAAAATTTGGCTATATGCGACTTGCGAATAAACAATAGCTCAATAGAAAGACAAACTAATAATACTCGATATTTTATTAAACTCACTGATTTTACATTCCTCAACAAAATTCAATTTTTGTTAAATAATTACAAATAATAATATCTCTATGTTGCTTAAAGCAATATGTTAAATTCGAATGATTAAAATATTTAAAGGCCTGCAAGAGAATAGGCATATTATTACAATACCAATAGGAAACACCTTGAACTCTCACCAGAGCATGAAGTATCGAGGGTACACTCACATCGTCGTCAGTTTGATAGAAGTTCAATATCAAAGGCTGTAAATGATTACTCAAAACATACTCCATTTGCAGACGGCTGCTGTCGAAGAAGTCCTCGTCAATCCCTTCGATTGATAGCCCCAATATCTTAAGCGATCTACAGTTGGCGACTGTTCGCCAGAGATCGCTCTCGAGTTGCCAGTACGCGCAGTCGACCAAATTCAATTCTTCTAGTGCTGGCATATTACTAACCAGAGATTCAAATTCATCCTTCTCGTAGTAGGCACTGCACAATGTCAATAGCCGTAGGTTTTTCAGACATTGACCTTTGTTAACTAAAAACCGGAGGTCGAGAGCGTTCGCAAGAAATTTACGTATGTCCTGACCTCGTCGCTCAAAAATCTCGTTCATAATGCTTTCAGTTTCATGTGGCTCCGTATAAAAACTAAACGACTGAAGTTTAGGCAAATTTAATATGCCGTTAATGGAATCGAATTCTATAAAATATAAAAAGCTTTCACTCAAGTCCAGTATTTGCAAGTCTGTCAATTTTTCAATGATTTTGCCATTTATGTACGACGGTGATTTTAATAATTTCAATTTTGGGAAGAGTTCGACTATAAGCTTCAGTGCCTCGTTATGTTCCCAGTGTGTTATAAAATCCACTGCGTAATACAGCGATTCCATACACGGAAAACATTGGCCTCTCCAACGCGTTAAATTGCTAATGTTAAAGCGATATAATTCTAAATGTTTAACTGTTGGACTGATGGCACGAATAAAATCAACCTCAACAAGTGTGCCACACAACTTATCAAATTCCTTAAACAAACGATATTGCAACTTATGACTTGTTTTGCCTTGCCAAGCATAGATCACATTGTCATATGTTCGGGGGGCGACGTCCTTAGATGCCACCCACAACCGAAATTGTGATAAAAGCTCCAAATAGTTAATAATACGCAGTTGAACATCATCGTTCAGGTTTTCCATCGTCTTGTAGTCGGTATTTCATAGCCATAGAAGAAAATTGTAAGTTTTATTATTCGCTTAAATCACCCTCAATTTTCAAAACTAACGGACTGGATGACTCACCCAATAGCGTTAGGTTTAAAAGTGTTTGTGCATGCAGTCTACGCCCGCAAAAACATTGCAAGTCTTATATCAACTTGACTTATGCCAGCATCTGTATCCACCGTCGGAAATCCGACAATTAGAATCGATAATTAAAATAATATATTTTTACGACAGACTAAATATGTATGTATGCTTTAGTGAAAAACTCAGAATGAAATGTTTTGAAATAAAAATGAAAGGCAGTATTAGCATTTCAACAAAAGCTCATTTCCAGCGCCTATATTCTCCAATACTTTATCATGTTGTGATCCTTCACCCTCTTAATTAAACTCCCTCGCTGATGACAATGGCCTTCGCACATGCCTATTTCTTTGTGTTTTTGCATTAAACAAAAAAAAAAAAAAAAAAAAACTTAATCTGAGATTTTTTTGTGAGAAATTAGTTGATTATTGGAACTTAACTTAAATCCACTTCCCGCAAGCTTATTAATTAGGCCTATTAATTATTAATAGACCCATACGATCTTAAATATGTTAGTCATGAAAAAAGCTGTGCTAAGACATCAAGAGTTTCATCGTGTTCACTGCCATCCCCATACTAAAACCTATTAATAACCATATAGATTACTTCCAATATCGAGTGCAATTTTTAAATTTAATTAATTAGCAAAAATTTGATTTTAACATGTAAAGATCTGCCTCAAAACGAAAAAATTACAAAAATATATTTAATATTCAGTATTTGTATTCATATAGTTAGAAAATTCATTATTTTTAAATGCAGCTACAGTGTTACAGTCCTGGCTGATTAACGATCATAATGTAAATACGAAAGCTTAGATTTCATGGTCCAGTTCATCTGTTTTCTTTATCTTAAAAGCATTTATATGTTGTAAAGAGGTTTCATAGGCCAATTAAATTTGTGCAAACTCTATTTTTGTATATTGGAAAGGAATTTCCTCCACTGGTAGTTTCTCAAACGAGACTATCAAGTTTGGATGATTGAAATGTTTACTGATCTAAAACATTAATAAATCCTTATTAATAAAAGTAAATATATGTAGCAGACGCCAGAGCGACTCACCAGATAGTGATATTAGGCAGGATCACGTAAGTCCTGGCCAGTATTATAACAATGCATCAAAAGGGGCTGTGAGCGATTGTTCAATGCCTGGTACATGTAGTATCTGTTCGAATCATAAAAGTCATCCTCAATCAGCGTGTTAGAAAAATTTAAAACTTTGAGGGAGCTGCAGCTAGCGACTGCTTCCCAGAGGTCCATTTCGTAGTGCCAAAACTGGCCTCCAATCATGTTCACTTGTTCCAATACTGGCAGGTTACTCACCAACCTTTGAAAGTGTCCTCTTTTAAAGAAATCTTCTATTAACGTCAACTGGCGCAAGTTTTTCAGCAATAGCAGTGATTCCAGCGACCAAGTCCAGTCGATAAATCTGAAGGTCAATTTACATATGTCCTCTGGTCGCTGTTTAAGAATCTTAGGTAAAAGAGCTCTAATTTGTGGACTTTCAGTCGAGAAACTAAACGTACGAAGCTTTGGCAAGTTTAAGACGCTAACAATGGAGGCGGTCCTTAAGAAGTGCATATTAACTGTTAGGTGCTCCAACTGCTGAAATGTATGCAGTGATACTCCCTTATCCAAGACCCTACGCTTATTTGACTCCAGCTCCTCCAAGAATTTCCATTTTTCCAATATTCCACAGTTTACTGGCCCAAACGGCTTAAACGATGTAATTCCAGGAAAGCGATCCACTAGCAGCTTTAGAGCTCGACTGTATTCACATCCATCTACTTTATCCAATCTGTATTCTAGCGATCGAATGCATGGAAAGCTGTGCTGCATCAAGTGTTGCAAGTGATTCATAGTAACTGATTTCAGTTCCAAATGTTGTACCGTTGAGCAAATGGTACTTAGAAAGGCATCCTCCAGCTTATTAGAATTGTGCCCACTATTCTTCAGAAACATGTACTTATAGTCTAATACATGGCTTGATTTGCGTTGAAGAACATCACTGACATTTCTATGTAATCGGGGAGCGAAGAACTTTGAGGACGCCCATAAAAAATATTGTGATTGATAGTCCAAATAGTTGATAATGATGAGTTGGCAATCGTCATTTAAGTTCTCTATCATCTTAGGGCTTATGTCCATATATATGTATGTAAAAAAAAAAATTTTTTAATTTCGTTTGCAAGTTTCCTTCAATATTGCCCGCTGCAAAAATTGACTTAGGTCAATCGATAACGATAACGGTTATTTTAAATATCAGGTCATTTAACATTTTTTAGGTATGTAGAAATCAATTCACAAAACGACAGGTTGACGCATACATATATATTATTTACATATATTATTCATAAATATAGTATATATATTAATTAGAAATAAATTATTTTTTCAATTTGGGTGGAATTTTAGGTGCCGCAGCCCTGATAGATTATCGATAGCGATAGCATGTTTTTTGTTATTGGTCGTGTTCGTCTTCTCTTATCAGTTTGTTTTGTTTTGTGCTTTAGTTAATAAAAGTTACTTAAATCTAGCACATTTTATGTTGTCTTTATACACGGCACTATTTCATTCGCATTACAATTAGCATGCCGCCAACAGAGACCCTACGTGCGGGCAGCGGAAGCAATGAACGAAGTGTCACTGGCTCTGAACAAACACATATAATCAGACAAAGCAACAAATGCTACGAGCATCGCGATTCCCAGGCAACGGCCATGTCGGTGGACTACTCAGGTCAATGGGTGTTGCTGGCTGGACGCGGCCATTTGGCGCTGCAGCGCCTTGGCCAAGATGACGGCACGCTGCGTCGTCACGAACGCCAATCCAAATATGAAATCTCTGTGGCAGAGTTTGCCATATGTCCCACACGTAGTGAATACTGTGCAATCGCGGTAAGCGTGGTGTTTATATTCCGCAGATTTGATAAGCGAATCTAAATTCCTTTTGTTTCATTTATGTGGTTGCTTTGCAGACCAGTCAAAATATTGACATCGTTCGCTGGGGTCCCGCCGAACCGCACTACGAGAATTCACTCCGTGGACACACGCGCACAGTTACAGATATAGATTGGCACAGCAAGGATCCCAATTTACTAGTTAGCTGTTCAATAGACACGTTCTCACACATATGGGATTTCCGTGATCCACGCAAGCCAGTCCAATCCTTGAATGCTGTCTGCATGTGTAAGGTCCCATAGAGATATATATGCTTGCATTATAGATTGTATTAAATCTTCGGTCTATGCGCTTACAGCGGGTGCTACCCAAGTGGGGTTCAATCGTGTCTCTGGCAATTTGCTGGCAGCTGCCCATGACGGTGATCTTCGCATTTGGGATATACGCAAAGGCAGCTGCCCAACGCATTATATAACAGCTCATTTGAATCGCGTGCATGGCATTAATTGGAGTCATAGACGAGAGACGTGCTTAGCCACAGCTAGCCAGGATGGCACCGTTAAATACTTTGATGTCTGCAATCCCAGACGAGCGGAAAAAATTATAACAACGTTATCGCCCGTTTGGCGTGCCAGATATACGGTAGGATTAGCTATTACTTATGCAAAAAGCTTCTATTCAGATCCACTCATATTTCGGTAGCCCATCGGCAACGGCTTAGTTAGCATTGTGGTGCCGCATATGGGTCGTGGAGAAAATAGTCTCCTGCTCTGGAGCAACAGCAAGCAAACGGATCCAATTTGCTCATTTGTAGGCCACACAGATGTCATACTCGACTTTGCCTGGCGACCCAATCGGGAGAACTTTACAGAAATTGTAAGGCTTGCTATATATGTATCCTTTGAGGTTACCAAATAATCATTGCATATACTAGGAATTGGTGACATGGTCGCGAGATCGTACACTGCGCGTTTGGAAGATCGATGATAATATGCTAAAGCTGTGCGAGCCATCGCCTGATGAGGATGAGGAGGTGGAGCGTGCCTCGCCACGCTACGAAAATGAACTAAGTGATTTGTCAACAGAATTTATGATGCGCCCAATGACAGCGGCTGCCTCGTTGCCCATAACCACCGCCACCCTTCAGGTGGGCACAAATACATTGCCCATGGCACGTTCACCCAGCTTTGGCGGTGTCTACGCGAGAAGGGAGGAGACGCATATTGCACGCTCGCTAACGGATCAGCCAACGTGCTCGCTGCAGCACGAATTCTCACTGTTGAATACGAATATGCCGCACGTAGACGTGGACATGCTGTGCGCGATAAAGCGCTATGCTTGTTTTAAGATCTGTGCCGCTGATCATACGATCATCTTGCAGGTGACCTTTCCCACTGCCTATCCGAGTCCAAATGTACCGCCCGAGTTCCAATTTTGCCAGGGCACAACGCTCTCCAGCGAGCTAAGCAACATCCTACTCAAAGTGCTGCGCACCAATGCGCTGCAGCGTGTGAAGAAATCGCGCAGCTGCTTGGAGCAATGTCTGCGTGCTCTCGTGGCCGCCATGAAAAAACGTGTCCCAGACGTCGCTGGCATTGGGACAGACCGGAGTCAACTGTTGCTGCAGTCGCCTAGATTGGAGGGCGCCTTGTCGAGCGCCTTGCATGATGCCTGCATCCCTTTTCCACGCACCTCGGGCGTTCATTTCAATGCCATTGGCATGCTGACCACCTTTGCCCAGGTGTTGACCACCAAGCGTCTGACTTTGCGCCAGCAGACGCAATCCCTTACGCCGCGCACCTTGAGCGTCATTAATGGTAGCGGATTGCTGGGCAATGTGATGGCCACCACGACCAATCAGCGCGATCCGAATGCCGCGTTCTATCTGCAGGAGCGCATGATCGCCTGCAAACGACTGCAAGGCAAACAACGCGTGATGCGCCAAATCAATGGCACCTCACCCGTCGTCCATGTCTACGATGCCAGCCAGCTGCTGCACATAAACCGCGAAATGGCACGCGACTTTGTGCTGGATAAGCAAAACATAGCGGCAACGTGTCGTCGCAACGGTGAAATCTGTCGTGCAAATGGACGATCAGATCTGCTGCCCATTTGGCTGCTGGCGGAGTTGATAGCAACGCCTCACTCGCCGCACGAATCGATGAGCTGTGAACTGCTCTTCTATAAGGATCCGTTTAAGAAATCTCTGCTGGAGTCGCTGATCATGCACTATGCCACCGCTGGTGATGTACAAATCGCAGTGCTGCTCGCCTGCCTCTTCGACAAGTGTCCCGCTGCTCTGATGGGCGTCATGGATGTGGCTGGCTGTCGGTTGCCCACGCAGCTCCATGCGCAACGATCGCCTTATCATACGGTGCTGCCCCGTTCATCCAGCAGCAATTGGCAGCAGCTAAAGCAGTTGCGTAGCAACTCTTGGTCCGATTCGTTGGATTGGGTGGACTTTAAGCTGGGCCAGACAGATGCCTATGCATGCTCCCTGATCCGACGCTCTAAGATGCCGCTCTTCGATCAGTTCAAGCGCGCCTATGCGGATGTGCTCTTTGGCTGGCAATTGCTGTCCAAGCGTGCGCTAATCCTCAAGCACACGCTGCATACACCAGCTCCCACACAGGGCGTTGAGTTTGTCACCGAATGCAGTGGCTGTGCGAAACCCAAGCGCACGCCCAAATGCGAGCCGTGCAAGCGACCCGTTCTGTTTTGCATTCTCTGCTCCTTACCGGTGCGAGGAGCAGCCAATGCTTGTCTCTCCTGCGGCCATGGCGGGCACATGCAGCACATGATGCAGTGGTTCGAGGTGAGTTTCGTATGTAAATATATATATATATTGTTTTTTCTTTTAAGTGCTAATGATTACATTAACTTGCAGCGCCACATCGTTTGTGCCACGGGATGCGGCTGCAACTGCTTACAGCGCACCTCAGAGCTGCTTGCCCTAATTAGCTGATCATCGAAGATCATCTCGCGGCTCCCGATCGGAAAAGCTATACATTTACTCCCAATCAACGTAACTTTCTAGCTTATCTACGACTTGACGCACCGCAAATCAAAATATACATAAATTATTGTTGTTTTTGTTATAGCTATAATGGTTTTTTTTAGTCTCCAAGACATTTTGCAGCATTTGCATAGAAATATAATTAGTCTACATACTCTAACGAAATTGCATAGGAGCACCCCATATTTAATATCTTCATATTGTAATATTGTAAACTAATAACAAGCTCAAAAAGTTCAAGGATTTTTTATCTAAAAATATGAGATCTATATTATACAACGTTTTGAAGCTCTTATAGAGAATTGAAAATCTATTTTAAAAAAATATATATAAATATAATTTTTTAAATTATGAATTTCAACTTTTTCTTGGCTTTTATAAAATTAAAAAAAAAAAATATTGAATTTGACACATGCTAAAAAAAAAAATATAAATACTTTTAGACACAAAATTCATATTCAATTTTCATATATCATATTCATTCAATTATTCCATAACAATAATACTTCAAATGCATTGGCATTTAGCTTGCTTAAACAACTGCGAAAACCTTCAGCGTCCGGATGCAATAATTATTTATTAGTTTTTTTTTTTTTTTTTCAGATACATATATATTAAATTTTTATTCTTATATAACTTTTATTTTTTACTTTTAGCTTAATATTTACGCATTTATTTGTAGTTTTGTATATATGTTTGTTTAGAAATCATCGTAATTGTCCGTCCCTCTTTTCAGAAAGCCCGTTTTTTTGTTTTGCAAAATATGCAGAATACAAAATTTAAATTCTATAGCTCTGCTTTTTAACATTTATTTGCCTCTTCGATAAGCGTCATTATAATGGAAAATGAAATTGCGCAACGAAAAAATACTCAATATTTGTAAAAAAAAGTTATATGTCAAAATAGATAAACTTATTGCAATTTGTTGATCACGTACGTTCCTCAAATTTTTGCTTTTATCAATTTTAATATATATACTATACTTTTTTTTCGAAAACATAAAGAACAAGAGCTAAGATCTAGATATAAGTATAAAAATTTAAAATGTAAACAAAGACACGCACACAAACAAATAGTAACGAAATATGAAAAAATTGAGGCTAAAACTTTCATCTTACGACAATAAGGATATAGTAGATATATATTGAGGAAAAGCTTCAAATCGAAGCTAGAACTAAAGA